TCTTTTGCCAGCTTGAGAAATTGAAGTGCAGGGCAAGAGGCTCTGAGCCAGGGGGAAAGCTTGCACAAGGTCACCCGGGGCGGGGAGGTGGGGGGGCGGGATGTGGTGGATGCTTGAGTCTGTTTCTGGGCAAATCTCCAACTCTTAACCCTAGCTTCAGGCTTTCTCCAAAGTCCCCTCTTTTCACCTATGCACCACATAGACTGAGCCAGGGAGACCTGGGTTTGAGATCCTTAGGGGCTTGGGCCTCAGTTTCCTTATCTGTGAAATGAAGGTACCCGCCTGGACACGGAAATTGAGGAAGAAGAGGACAGCTGACACGGATGGGACACTTGCTCTGTGCCAGGCACCATGCTAAGCACTTATATGTATCAATCCATTTAATTGTCACAACTTCCATAAAGTCAGGTACAATTTTATTGTCACCACTTCACTGGCTAGAAAACGGAGGCATAGAGAGGTGGAGTAATGGGCCCACCTACCTTTTAAAGTTTCCAGAGAGATCAGAGATAACCCTAGAAAATACCAGGTACATAGTAACTGCTGGGTCAATGGTACGGTTCCAAGCTCCTTGACTTCTGTGAGCCACAGCCACACAGGTGTGCTGTGAATGGCACTGAAAACACTGAGCACGGTGCCTGGCACACGGTAGGAGTCCTTATTTACCAGCATCATAGTCGTTGGTGGTAGCAAATCTTTGTCTTCTGAAAATGGATTTTATTTTATGAAACAGCTAAAATTCATGTGGAGCTGAATCTGGTGACTAATGCCAGTAATCTAGTGGTGAAATGTCATTTTTAGAACAAAACAAGGTGTAATTACTGAGCCCTGAGCCTGTTTTTCCTTAGAGAAAAGCCTTATACTGTGTCAGATGAGCAGGTACTAGATCTGTGTTCCCCATCTGAATCGTATGCCTAAAGCAACCCTCATTTTAACCAAAATCTTCACGCCCAATCCTAAATCTATCCCGACCCAGATCTGAATGTCTATACTTCCTCTAAGTTCCCCACACATTTTCACCAGTCTAGCCTCACCAAAACCCTGAAGTTTCTTTTTATTCTTTTCTGAGTTCCACTTTGCTACTCTCTGTTCCTATCCTGATCTGGATCTGTACTAATTCTCAAAGGATTAAAATAAATGTAATTGCATTCAAAGCATGCAAAATTTGAATACATTCTCCTCAAAAGTAATGACAGTAAGTGCCAAACTTCTAAATTAGAATAATTTTTCACATTTCCCAAAGGGATTTCTTTTAGTATTTTCAAAATCATGTATTAAAATGTATAGCAAATGCAGTTTTATATTAATAAATAGCAAAAATGTAATAGCATTCAAATGGTTTTAGAAATTTTAATTCCACCTTACTAAATATTTTAGAAAAACAAGACTGTTCCCTAAATAGCATCCGGTGTCCCACTAATTGCCAATATGAAGAACTGCTATCGTGCTTCACACATTGTGGCCAGACCTACATATATATAAATTTAACTATTATACAAATGATTTATGGTATTATAAAATGTCCCTCAGCTGCCATGTGCAGCTGTTATGAATACTGTGCTAACTCATGAGAACCTTCAGAACATGAAAAGAAGAAAATGGACACTTGGTTATGCATTTATCACATTCATGCAACCTGAGAAGCAAGATGTGAGGAATGAATTTATCTTTTCTTTCATGTAAAACCTTCTGCTGTTCAAATTTGCCCCACACTCCAAAGCAGTGTCTAACACTCAGCTCATCCCACACCCCTCCTGCAGTCTGGGGCAGGACCTTTGGTTGTGAGAATGGTGAGCGAGAGATCCAGAGAAGTGTTTCCCTGCACCCTGAGCTGTGTTAGCATGTAGCCATCTAGGTTTCCAGCCTGCTGGTCAGCACAGAGTCCCAGGGGCCTGCAGTTCTTACTCATCTATTTGTTTAGGGTTTGAGATACTCAGGAAACCACCGTAGGATCTTAGGGCCGCTCTTGTTCTGGTCAAGGCGGTGGTACTGCTCTACTGCGCCTACTGCCTGGAAACATTTTGCATAAGCTGTGCCTTAGGCCCGGGACATCATTCTCGTTTCTAGTCTTTGAAATTCTTCAGGTCTTAGTTTAAAAATTCCCCTCTCAGACAGGCCTGTCTGTCCTCTAAATCCAGACTGGATCCCACCTGCTGTTTTCATGGAACCCAGTTCTTTTCCTTCTTGGCATTTATTACAATTAATAACAATGAGATCAGTATAACTAATTTGCGGATTTATGTCTATACCATCTGTCAGAATCACAAAAATGTAAGCTCTATGAGCACAGAGACCACATCCTTTCATCCATCACTCTATGTCCAGTGCTTAGCATACCATTTGGCACATAGTCAGTGTCCAGGAAATATGACCCACTGTCAGCCAGTGAGTTTCCTCAACTTTTAATGCCAGGGTGTTAATGTCTGTCTCATAAGTATTATTGGGAGAGTAAAGAGAGAATGGGAGCAAAGGCCACATAGTAGGTGGACAATAAATACTATTATTATTATATATTCAGAGGCAGGTGAGAACTGAGGAATCTTGGAGGTGGGGACTTGAGGGCTATTTGGAGTTGGATGGGATTCGAGGAATCGGGAGGGCATTCCAGGACAGAATAGTTTAGCAAAGGCATGGAGGAAAGTATAAAGGCAGTGAGTAAACCTATGTGGCCGGATGAAGAGTAAATTTTGGGACAGCCCTGTAGTTAGAAAAGCAGACTGGGGTCAGATTAGGAAGAGCCTTGAATGCCAATCCAGCACATTTAAACTTGATCCTTAGGCAGTAGGGAGCCAAAGAGTTTTTGAGAAAAAGTGTCAACTGAAGACATGGTATTTAGAAAGATTAATAATGGCAAATCCATAGCATGTATAATGTGGGGTTGGGGGAAAGGGGAGGGCTGTGCAACACAGAGAAGACAAGTAGTGATTCTACAATATCTTACTACGCTGATGGACAGTGACTGCAATGGGGTTTGTGGGGGGAACTTGGTGGAGGGGAGAGCCTAGTAAACATAATGTTCTTCATGTAATTGTAGATTAATGATAACAAAAAGAAAAATGTGGAAAAAAACTTAACCCCCAACTGCTTTATATATTTTATAATCCTTCATCAGCTATGTGTAAAGAAATTCCATTATCAAAATTCATAATAAGGGTTTAAGTAATGGCTGGATTACTAGAGGTTGATAGTTCTTTTGCTGTAGGGTTCATCTTCAGAGAAGAATTGTACATGATAACAAGAAATATTCTAGAAGCAGTAAAGGTAGTCTAGAGGACTAACACTTCACCTTGAGCTCTCTGGTGGAAGCCTGCTTTCCAGATGGGTGATCAACGACAGATTTTGTATAAGGTAACAGGAAAAAGGATCATTCTGCAGAAACTATGGGTTACTATCATAAGCAAGTAATGTTGGGAAAAATGCTGCAGTGTATTTTCTCATAGCTTTTTAAGACTCTAGAATATCAAGTAAATTTTTCAATAAAATATAGAAAAATAGTAATAATAATGGCAAATCTGGACCAGGTGGACTAAGGGACTGAAGAAAAACAAAAACATTTTATTCAAACTCATCTCTAACCCTTGTGACGGTATAAAACATGCAGGGTTAGGGGCAAAACCTCTACAGATACGGATTCAAGCCCTAGCTCAGCAATGTTATGACCTGGCTGACACTGAGCCAGCCACTTCACCTCCCTGTACCTCAGTTTCTCCACCTATAAAATGGAGATAATCCTGCCTATTTCACTGGACTGGTGAGAATCAAATAAAGAATGCACTCATTAATCCACTCATTCAAAAATGAACCCCAATAATGTATCAAATTGTCTTGTAAATGATAGGGAGACAGAGATTAAGTGGAAGTGTTCTGAAAGAGGCACATAATTTCTGAATATCAAGTGCTTGTGGTACGCAGCTTTCCATCTGTCATAGCACTTAATCTGCCCAATATCCTTATCAGGTTGGTACTATTACCAAGCCCTTTTTATAAATGAAGAAATGGAGGCTCAGAGAGACTAAGTTAGTCACCCAAGGACGTTCAGCCCTTAAGTGGCTGAGCTTGGTCTTGGGCTCACAGCTGACCCATGCCTGAGATGACTGTCTCCCTCCTAGTGCTGGACCTTTGAACACATCTGGCTACTTGCAACTTCTAGGCCTTTAACTTGCTGTTCCCTTTCCATCCCACTTTTTTTTTTTTGCCTGTAGAACTACTCATCTTTCAAATTCTAGATTAGGCTTCAGGAAGACTCCAGGATCCCTGCTTGGGCCCCTCCTCTGGGCTTCCCCAGCACTTATTCAAACATCTCCCATGATATTAACCACAGTAGCACTATATCCCTGGTCTCTGAACTTTTAAAGAAGTATATCCCTTATCAGTAAAAAAATATTTTTAAGTGAGCACCCATAATATAGGCACTTTTCTTTTTTTTAAATTAAGATATCATTGATGTACAATCTTATGAAGGCTTCACATGAGCAACATTGTGGTTTCAACACTCACCTATGTTATCAAGCCCTCACGCCCCCCCACTGCAGTCACTGTCTATTGGCGTAGTAAGATGCTATAGAGTCATTACTTGTCTTCTCCATATAGGCACATTTCTTTATAAAGTACTGTACATACACGTTCTGTTGAGCCACATATATTAAATATTGATAACTCCTAATTCTTTTATTTTTATGAAAAATAAATACAGGATCTGATCCAATGTTTTCTTCCCACAGCCCATTGACCACTGACAAGTAACAAATTCATACCTCTAATCCAAGCTGGTGGGCAGAGGGGAGGGGTCGAGTGGGGGAGGGCGGAGTGGGGGGTGCAGTGAGGGAGGGGTCGCTGGTAGGTGGATGCCATGCTTCCCCACTGCAGGAGGTTTGAGAAGAACGTGGGAGTCCAGCTTCTTCCCCAGAGGGCCGGACCTGGGGGCATGGGGGTTATGGGCAGGACACCTCCCACTGTGCTTTCACCCACTTGAGCCAGGGGAAGGTGGGGCAAAGTTGAGCCTGGATTAGCGGGGCGGCAGGGAGGCTGCTAGAGCTGCGGGGTGGCCAGACCGGCCAGTGCGGAGAGGCAGGCGCACCATGCCGCTGCAGGATGTCACCCTCCGAGAGGTGTGGGCCTCCGACAGGTCCGGAAGCCCCCCACCACCGCTACCACCTCGCCTGTCTCAACTCTGGGCCGCCCAGGTGGAGGGGCTTGGGTGGGGCAGGAGAAAGGAAGACAGACTGATCCGTTTGTTGCCCTCAGCGGACCTGAGGAGGAAGGCCGGCGGAGCCCAGAGGTCCGGCAGCGCCCCAGGCAGGTAAGTGACCCCTGCTCAGACAGGAAGTCCACGCAGGGGATCTGCGAGTGCGACCGGCCCCCCTCAGCCGCCTCCGGGGGTGGCTACCTGGAGGGTCTTTAGGAGAGGGGTATTTGGAGCACCTGGGCTGTCCGGGGGAGGAATCTGGGCTTGGGGCAGTGGAGGTGGCCATGGCGCCTGGGAGGGGTCACGGTGCCCACCCCACGGAGGAAGCTACAGCTCCCCTCCCGCTAATCCGCGGTTATTTCTGGCGGCTCAAGGGATTACAGGGCGCTGGGCAGCCCTCGGAACCCCCCTTTCCCTCCTCTCCCTCCTCTTGGCCCCCGACCCCCAGCGACCCGCCCGGGGACAGAAACTGAGGAAGAAGAGGAGCGAGGCCCCTGAATCCCCCGACCCTGCGGGACCCGAGCCCCGGAGACCCGGCGGCGGCCGGGCGGCCGAGCGCGGGGGCGCCCGCCTGGGTGAGTGCGGGCGGGGTGTTGGGCGCACCCCGGGGCGGGGCGAGGCGGGGCGGGGGGCCGGGGGAGGGGGTCGCAAGGGAGGCCGAGCGCGGGGCCACCACTCGGGCGAGGAGCCCGAGCGGCAGCGTCCAGGGCTTGGGGCGCGGGGAAGACGGGGTCGGGGCGCTGCCTCCCCGGACCCGGCGGGCTCCTGCCTGACCCCGCGTCTCGGCTCAGCCGGGCGGAGGGGGAGGCCACGGGAAGAGCCGGCGGAGGCCCGGGCGCCGCAGACCGTCTACACCAAGTTCCTCAGGGACCCCGAGGCCAAGAAGCGCGACCCGCGGGAAACCTTTCTGGTAGCCCGCGCCCCGGACGCCGAGCACGGTCAGAGGGGGCCCGGGGGAAGGGCGGGCTAGGGGGGCGGGTCGGGGGAAGGAGCCAGGGGCTTGACAGAACTGCAGCGAGAGGCAGAAGGCTCGGAAACAGCCTGCAGCTATCTGGCCTTGTCTTTGAGCCAGAAAAGCTTTATTCTCTTGCTCTTTCCCCCGTTTCCGGATGGGGAAATTGAGGCGCAGAGCGATGAAGAGTATGCCTTAAACTATAGCCACTCGCCAAAGGTAGCCCGGATGGGTCCGGCTCAAGGTCAGAAACAGAGGCAGACGACAAGAAGAAACAGAGGCAGAAACAGGGCAGGTGCAATGAGAGGGAGCAGCGGGGGGGAAGGAAGACCAGGAGGGCGGGTGGAGGGGAGGGTCCCGAGAGAGGGGCCGGGCCTGCAGAGACGGCATATTCTGAGAGCAGGATTGCACAACCCCCCCCCCGCAGCATTCCCCCAAATCCAGCTGGCCATCCTGGCCCTGTTCTGGAGGGGAGCCTCCTATCCCGGGCGCTCATTCACCACTCCCCGGCAATCACGAGGGACTGGGCTCTCCGGATATTGGAGCCCTCCCCAGCCCCCATTATGAGGAGTTTCTACCTACAGAGGAGGAGGAGGACGAGGAGGATCAGGAAGAGGAAGCAGGGGAGGCAGAGGAGAAGGAAAAGAAAGAGAAGATACCTCTGCCTCCCAAGAAGCCCCCAAAAGAGAAGGTGTCTGCAGACATCAAGGAAAGGAGGGCCAAGGCCCCAGGACTGATGGGTGGGTGCTGAGGGCACAAAGGGCGCACACAGCCACTTCAAGCTAGCCCTGCCCATGAGGGGCCTCCGGTCTCGCTGAAGCTGGGACGTCAGACACTTACCCAATGTCTGGACCCCAGAGTTTCTTCCTCTGGTGGCTTCCTCCTCCCATGGTCTTTAAGGACAGAGATCAGTGTGTGCTCCTGCCACCACCCCCACTGCCCCTGCCCCGGGTGCTCTGTGAGCCAGGGAGGACAGAGAGTTTTAGTTTTCTTTGTGATTTTTGTATAGGTTTTTTTTTTTATCCTCAATATGAATTATTGTCATAATTTTTATAAAAGTATCAAAGTGATTACAGTAAAAATCCATCAGTGAATAAATGCCATGTTGGCTCCCTGGCCTAGGTACCTCGCCCTACAGATTCCACAGCCTGGAGTAAATCTGAATACCCAGCCAGGACCTGTGGGAGGGAGAGAGCACTGTCTATGGCACTGGCCAGAGGAGGTTTTCTGGGGGCAATGGGGTGGGAGCTGGGATGCATGTAGGAGGCCTGGCATTCATTCATTCATTGATTCATTCATTGGTTCACTAACTGCTCAGTAAGCACCTGGTGTTTGTCCAGCCACTTTTGGACTCAGGGTTCAAATGAAATGATCAGAGACAGACCCTGGGCCCCTGTCAGGCTTTCAGCCCCCAGGGAATGAAGCAACGATGAGTGTTTTGGAAGGTGGCCATCATCCCAATAGGCTTTTCTTTGTCTAACCCCACCCTCCAATTCCAGAGGACCTGGGGAGCCCTCTCCCCCCACGGAAAGCTCTGCGCATTAAGAAGAAAGGGATGCCAGAGAGGGAAGGAACTAAGATGAGAAAGACAAAGGAGAAAGGTGAGACTGGAGGAGCAGGGGACTCTGGCTGTGACAGGCCCTGTGAGCCCTTCGCATCCTCACACACAGGGTCTGGGGAGGCTGACAAAGACCTCTCAGTGAGCCCCGGCAGAGTGAGAAAGAAGGCCCCAGCAGCCATGTTCCTGGTTGGGGTAGATGGCCCAGCTGAAAAAGCTCTGAAGAAGAAAGGTGGGTAGCTGTGGCCTCTGGTGCCATGATATCTAGAAGCAGTCCTGAGGGTGGGGAGCAGGCCTGAATTGTAGGGTGAGGAGTGTGAGTTCCAGAGTCAGAAGACTTTGGGGAGAATTTTGACCACCCCACCCCACCCCCACTTTAATAGCTGTGTGACCTCAGGCATGTGTCTCAGCCTTTCTGAGGCTCTGACAACAGTAATACAGGGTTACTCTCTTGTGGTTGTGGGAAGGGGCCAAGAGAGACACAGTGTTTGAAACACTTTGCAAACCATTAAGTGCTCCACCAGGGTCCGTAGTTAACAGGCTTGTTCTCCCTCTATGCCCAGACACTCCCAAAGGCTCAGAAGAGGAAAGGAAGGAGGAAGAGGATGAGGAGGAAGAAGTGGCAGCTGTGGTAACAAAGAACAGTAATCAGAAGGGCAAAGCCAAAGGAAAAGGCAAAAAGGTTGGGGCCCAGGGCAGAAGGGAGCTGAGGTCCCTTCAGGGAGCAATGGCAGAGGCCTGGGCTTAGCAGACGAGAGTGTGGGACTTGGTGGGCAGGGGCCATGGGGTCATTTGGGTTTAGAATCTTGGCTGCCCATCTGGTGACAGGGTGTGAGGACAAAGGCCACCAGACCTGGAAGAACAGAAGAGTCAGTTGAAGGGTCACCAGGCTGGGACTGGCCACTGGGAGGCCTTATGTCATGTGGTCTCTAAGCTTGCCCTTCTGCAACCTTACCATCTGACACAGCCAGAGATGTTCACACGGCCCCCATATGAAGACATGCACATTTTCTGTGCCTGGGAAGTGGAGCACACAGGCAGATAGCACATGTGCACACACCCATGGGATCACTGATTGATTGATAGCCCACTGTACAAGTTGTTAAAATATTCCCATGCTACTGCTTTGAGCTCACCAAGTGCTTCCTGTTCCCCACCACCCGGGACCTCCCAACCTTCCAGCAACTAAAGGGTCAACATTGGCTGTTAGGGGCTTCCAGCACCCTCCCCAGATGGATCAATGTCCATTCTGACTATACGTTCTCCATAGGCAGAACAAGTTGTTAAATATTTTGAATATTGCTCTTCCTCACAAACAGAACTCAGGTACTAATGTGCAAGCAGGAAAGGTCTGACTAGAGAGAGAAAGGAATGAAAGTCTCTGAGAAACTGGTTTCCATGAGTGGCGAGATCGCCATGAGGGCAGGGCTGGGGTCTTAGCTACGTGGCTGTAATTAATCTGTTCAGGAGTGGTCAGGTCTTGGGGGGACTGTTCACATTAGCCAGATCACCAGATACTGATTTATAAACTGAAAGGCCAGTGTATTATCTCCCAGGAGGAATACCACTGCAGTACAGCCTTCAGTACAGTAGGCCCTTAAAATCCACAGCTGTAGAAATGTTTGAATAAACTCTGGCTTTCTCCACATCACATTCCAAACATAGTCTTGTGTGTTTCCCAAGTTTCCTCTGGAGCAGCCTAGGGTGGAGAAGAGATGCTCACTTGCCCGCGGGCTAAGGGCCCACTCCCTAAGGGCCTATTCGCTGACAACCAGCCTCACCTCATACACAGTGTAGACCTGGCCTCAGCAAAAATGGCCAACCATGACACATTAGGGCTTCTTAGTGGCTCACATACATCATTTAATCCTCAAATGCACACACCCAGGCTGGGAGTCTTCTCTCCCCCATTGGGAGAGAAGTTGGGATTAGAATCTTGACTCCACGTCTTCTGAGGGATAGAACATGAGGGCAAAGGATACCAGCTTGTGAGAACAGAAGGGGCAGTTGTGTGGTCACCAGGCCAGGCCAAACCACCATAGGGCTCATGCAACCAAATTGTTATTAGGAGTTTTTCCATGAGCAAAATGAGCTTAATTATTCATTCATTGAATTGACTATGTATTGCTGTATAACCATCACCCCAAGACTTGGTGTCTTAAAACAACAAATATTTATTTTCTTAATTTCTGGAAGTCAGACATCTAGGCACAGCTTAGCAAGTCGGTCTGTTTTGGGAATCTCTTCATGAAGTTGCAGTCAGGATGATAGCTGGATTGGCAGTCATTCTGAAAGCTTGACTGGAAATGGAGGATCTCCTTCTAAAATGGTTCACTGTCCTGGTTGTTGGCTGGCGGCCTCTCCATAGGGCTGCTTGAGTGTCCTTATGAGGAGGCAGCCAACTTCCCCCAGAGCCCAAAAGAGAAAGCAAGGAGAAGCCACAGATCTTCTGACTGACATATTCTACTGGTCACAGACCAACCCTGATACAGTGTGGCAGGGGACAACAGAGGGCATAAATATCAGGAGGCAAGAATCACGGGGCACCACTGTGAAGGTTGGCTACTACCTTCATTGAGTATGTACTATATGCTATTATATCAGTAGTAGCTAACCCTTCTATAGTGTTACATGCTTAGAACATAGCAATTCATACCTTTAGCCTCAACTCAGGTCACCCCCTGATATAGTGTCCACATGAAGGAAGGTCTTTCTAAAGGCTCTGGATCTGACAGGAGAGACTGGGCAGCATTCATAGCCCAGCTCCACCTCTTACTACCTATGTGAACTTGGACAAATACCTTAATTGCTGAGCCTCGGCTTCTTTATCTGTAAAATGGGACTACTGCAGCAGATATTGATAAGAAAATTAAATGAGTTGATATTTGGAAAGTTCTTAGAATTATGCCTGGCACATTGGTAAACCTTACATGTGTTTGTTAAATATATGAATTAAGTAAGGTCTGTCCCAGGTGTCCAACTCACCCTATGTACTTGTCAGATGAAAAAAACTGAGTCACAGTGTAGTTAAAACTTAACAAGTGTGACAGATAGTAGCGGAACTAAGATTTGAACCCAGGTTGTCTGGCTCTAGAGGCTGGGCTCTTCACTATAAGCCAAATAAACTAATAGTAAAGGACAGCTCCCCTAGCCTCCTCACATGGCCTGCCAAATCCTGGGGAAGTGTGAGGCAGTCCCACTGGCCTCTAGCTGGCCTCTCCCTTCTCTCCCCACTCAGAAAGCAGTGAGTTGTCCTGCCAGCCCTGACTAGTCCCAGCACTGGGGACCTGCTGAGGACAGGGGAGCTGGTGCTCTGGAGTTGATGTACCCTTTGCCCCCATCCCCCAGAAGGAGGAGAGGGCTCTATCCCCACCTGTGGGAGTGCATGAACCCCAGGAGTTGGTGCTTCAGCCTGCCCCCCAGGGCCGGACAGTGCGCTGCAGGCTGACCCGGAACAAGAAGGGCATGGATCGGGGCCTGTATCCTTCCTACTTCCTGCACCTGGACACAGAGAAGAAGGTGGGCAGGGCAGACGGCAGGGAGGAGGAGTAGAGCTACCAGAAACCTGGCTCAGTGAGGGTCTAGAGCCAAAATAGGGGCCTAGGCCTAAAGGGCAAACAGATTTCTCCTTCCCCTTACCCACCTCCTTTCTCACCCCATCCTCTCTTCCCATCCACTCGCCTGTCTCCCTCTCTCCCCAGGTGTTCCTCTTGGCTGGCAGGAAAAGGAAACGGAGCAAGACAGCCAATTACCTCATCTCTAGTGACCCTACCAATCTGTCCCGAGGAGGGGAGAATTTCGTCGGGAAGCTGAGGTGAGGCTGGGAGGCTTAGGGCAGCAAGAGGGCCTCGGCCAGTCACCGCTGTCTCCCTGTGCCTGGAAGAGTGCCCACCATGTTGGACACTCGGGAAAAGTCCCCTGTCACAGGGCTTCTCACACCATGCCATGCATAGATCACTTGGGGGTGTTGTTAAAATGGTTCAGTGGGTCTGGGTTGGGGGCAAGAGTCTGCACTTCCAACAAGCACCCAGGCAATGGCCTCACTGCTGGTCTGGGGACCTCACTTGCAGTAGGGCGCAAGGACCATGAGGGCTGGGGCTGGGCTTGTCTTCTTCATGACTGAATTTCCAGCACTGGTACATAATAACTACTCAATAAATACTTGCGAAGTGAATGAATGAGCAAATATTTATCACTTACCCTATGCTGAGTCTATATCCCATCTAATTGTCACCACAAATCTGAGAGGTGAGAGGAAAGTGAACCCCTAAGTCAAACCTTATTGTATATAACAAACACTTCTGTAAGGCCTACCTATGTGTCAGGTGTAGTTCTAAGTAACTTCCAAATATTAACCCATTTAATCCTCTTATCAACCAAGTAAGGGAAACACTGTTTTTGTGCCTATTTTACAGGTGGGAAAGTTGAGGCCCAGAGAGTTTAAGCAACTTACCTAAGATCACACAGCTAGTAAGAGATGCAGCTGAAATTTGAATGCTGCCCAGTCTCCATCTAGATCCAGCTTTTAAAAAGACCTCATGGGGGAAACGTGGGACAGGGGACATGAACTGCTCTGATCTAAAACATTCCTACCCTTAAAGTAGGAGGTTCTCAAAATGGCTTGGCTGTGAGGATCTTGGAATAGGGGTGTGGAATTCCCTCAGCCCTGCCCCTAATTCTACCCTGCTTTCAGGTCCAACCTCCTGGGCAACCGCTTTACCATCTTTGACAACGGACAGAACCCTCAGCGTGGAGGAGGCGGCACTGATGTGGGGAGCCTTCGGCAGGAGCTGGCAGCTGTGATCTATGTGAGAACTCCACCGGTCCCCCAAGGCAGGACCCTCCCCTTGCAGGGGCCGGCCTAACAGGCATCTCCCTCCCAGGAAACCAACGTGCTGGGCTTCCGAGGTCCTCGGCGCATGACGGTCGTCATTCCCGGCATGAATGAGGACAATGAGAGGGTCCCCATCCGGCCCCGAAATGTGAGCCCTGCACCAATGTGATGCATCTCCCTGAGGGTCCTGCTCTCTAGGAGACCCACTCCAGGGGAGCTGGGGAGCAGGGGCTCAGCTTGGCTAATACCTAACCCCCTCAACATACCCACCACACTCACAAATTCATCCTGGCAACTGTGGAATGAACTTGGGGGTTATGTAATTGAACTCACTGAAACAAGCACAATGGGATTTTTTTCCTAGTTTACATCAAATCATCCATTCATAGAGTCATTCAAAACACATATATTGAATGCTGAGCATTATTCTAGGCAACTGGAAGACATCAGTGGACAACACAAAAGTCTGCCTCATGAAACTAGCATTCTAGTGGAGGAAGAGACAGTAGACAATAATTGTGATAAATAAGTAAATTATGTGGTATGNGGGTGGGGCAGGAGAAAGGAAGACAGACTGATCCGTTTGTTGCCCTCAGCGGACCTGAGGAGGAAGGCCGGCGGAGCCCAGAGGTCCGGCAGCGCCCCAGGCAGGTAAGTGACCCCTGCTCAGACAGGAAGTCCACGCAGGGGATCTGCGAGTGCGACCGGCCCCCCTCAGCCGCCTCCGGGGGTGGCTACCTGGAGGGTCTTTAGGAGAGGGGTATTTGGAGCACCTGGGCTGTCCGGGGGAGGAATCTGGGCTTGGGGCAGTGGAGGTGGCCATGGCGCCTGGGAGGGGTCACGGTGCCCACCCCACGGAGGAAGCTACAGCTCCCCTCCCGCTAATCCGCGGTTATTTCTGGCGGCTCAAGGGATTACAGGGCGCTGGGCAGCCCTCGGAACCCCCCTTTCCCTCCTCTCCCTCCTCTTGGCCCCCGACCCCCAGCGACCCGCCCGGGGACAGAAACTGAGGAAGAAGAGGAGCGAGGCCCCTGAATCCCCCGACCCTGCGGGACCCGAGCCCCGGAGACCCGGCGGCGGCCGGGCGGCCGAGCGCGGGGGCGCCCGCCTGGGTGAGTGCGGGCGGGGTGTTGGGCGCACCCCGGGGCGGGGCGAGGCGGGGCGGGGGGCCGGGGGAGGGGGTCGCAAGGGAGGCCGAGCGCGGGGCCACCACTCGGGCGAGGAGCCCGAGCGGCAGCGTCCAGGGCTTGGGGCGCGGGGAAGACGGGGTCGGGGCGCTGCCTCCCCGGACCCGGCGGGCTCCTGCCTGACCCCGCGTCTCGGCTCAGCCGGGCGGAGGGGGAGGCCACGGGAAGAGCCGGCGGAGGCCCGGGCGCCGCAGACCGTCTACACCAAGTTCCTCAGGGACCCCGAGGCCAAGAAGCGCGACCCGCGGGAAACCTTTCTGGTAGCCCGCGCCCCGGACGCCGAGCACGGTCAGAGGGGGCCCGGGGGAAGGGCGGGCTAGGGGGGCGGGTCGGGGGAAGGAGCCAGGGGCTTGACAGAACTGCAGCGAGAGGCAGAAGGCTCGGAAACAGCCTGCAGCTATCTGGCCTTGTCTTTGAGCCAGAAAAGCTTTATTCTCTTGCTCTTTCCCCCGTTTCCGGATGGGGAAATTGAGGCGCAGAGCGATGAAGAGTATGCCTTAAACTATAGCCACTCGCCAAAGGTAGCCCGGATGGGTCCGGCTCAAGGTCAGAAACAGAGGCAGACGACAAGAAGAAACAGAGGCAGAAACAGGGCAGGTGCAATGAGAGGGAGCAGCGGGGGGGAAGGAAGACCAGGAGGGCGGGTGGAGGGGAGGGTCCCGAGAGAGGGGCCGGGCCTGCAGAGACGGCATATTCTGAGAGCAGGATTGCACAACCCCCCCCCCGCAGCATTCCCCCAAATCCAGCTGGCCATCCTGGCCCTGTTCTGGAGGGGAGCCTCCTATCCCGGGCGCTCATTCACCACTCCCCGGCAATCACGAGGGACTGGGCTCTCCGGATATTGGAGCCCTCCCCAGCCCCCATTATGAGGAGTTTCTACCTACAGAGGAGGAGGAGGACGAGGAGGATCAGGAAGAGGAAGCAGGGGAGGCAGAGGAGAAGGAAAAGAAAGAGAAGATACCTCTGCCTCCCAAGAAGCCCCCAAAAGAGAAGGTGTCTGCAGACATCAAGGAAAGGAGGGCCAAGGCCCCAGGACTGATGGGTGGGTGCTGAGGGCACAAAGGGCGCACACAGCCACTTCAAGCTAGCCCTGCCCATGAGGGGCCTCCGGTCTCGCTGAAGCTGGGACGTCAGACACTTACCCAATGTCTGGACCCCAGAGTTTCTTCCTCTGGTGGCTTCCTCCTCCCATGGTCTTTAAGGACAGAGATCAGTGTGTGCTCCTGCCACCACCCCCACTGCCCCTGCCCCGGGTGCTCTGTGAGCCAGGGAGGACAGAGAGTTTTAGTTTTCTTTGTGATTTTTGTATAGGTTTTTTTTTTTATCCTCAATATGAATTATTGTCATAATTTTTATAAAAGTATCAAAGTGATTACAGTAAAAATCCATCAGTGAATAAATGCCATGTTGGCTCCCTGGCCTAGGTACCTCGCCCTACAGATTCCACAGCCTGGAGTAAATCTGAATACCCAGCCAGGACCTGTGGGAGGGAGAGAGCACTGTCTATGGCACTGGCCAGAGGAGGTTTTCTGGGGGCAATGGGGTGGGAGCTGGGATGCATGTAGGAGGCCTGGCATTCATTCATTCATTGATTCATTCATTGGTTCACTAACTGCTCAGTAAGCACCTGGTGTTTGTCCAGCCACTTTTGGACTCAGGGTTCAAATGAAATGATCAGAGACAGACCCTGGGCCCCTGTCAGGCTTTCAGCCCCCAGGGAATGAAGCAACGATGAGTGTTTTGGAAGGTGGCCATCATCCCAATAGGCTTTTCTTTGTCTAACCCCACCCTCCAATTCCAGAGGACCTGGGGAGCCCTCTCCCCCCACGGAAAGCTCTGCGCATTAAGAAGAAAGGGATGCCAGAGAGGGAAGGAACTAAGATGAGAAAGACAAAGGAGAAAGGTGAGACTGGAGGAGCAGGGGACTCTGGCTGTGACAGGCCCTGTGAGCCCTTCGCATCCTCACACACAGGGTCTGGGGAGGCTGACAAAGACCTCTCAGTGAGCCCCGGCAGAGTGAGAAAGAAGGCCCCAGCAGCCATGTTCCTGGTTGGGGTAGATGGCCCAGCTGAAAAAGCTCTGAAGAAGAAAGGTGGGTAGCTGTGGCCTCTGGTGCCATGATATCTAGAAGCAGTCCTGAGGGTGGGGAGCAGGCCTGAATTGTAGGGTGAGGAGTGTGAGTTCCAGAGTCAGAAGACTTTGGGGAGAATTTTGACCACCCCACCCCACCCCCACTTTAATAGCTGTGTGACCTCAGGCATGTGTCTCAGCCTTTCTGAGGCTCTGACAACAGTAATACAGGGTTACTCTCTTGTGGTTGTGGGAAGGGGCCAAGAGAGACACAGTGTTTGAAACACTTTGCAAACCATTAAGTGCTCCACCAGGGTCCGTAGTTAACAGGCTTGTTCTCCCTCTATGCCCAGACACTCCCAAAGGCTCAGAAGAGGAAAGGAAGGAGGAAGAGGATGAGGAGGAAGAAGTGGCAGCTGTGGTAACAAAGAACAGTAATCAGAAGGGCAAAGCCAAAGGAAAAGGCAAAAAGGTTGGGGCCCAGGGCAGAAGGGAGCTGAGGTCCCTTCAGGGAGCAATGGCAGAGGCCTGGGCTTAGCAGACGAGAGTGTGGGACTTGGTGGGCAGGGGCCATGGGGTCATTTGGGTTTAGAATCTTGGCTGCCCATCTGGTGACAGGGTGTGAGGACAAAGGCCACCAGACCTGGAAGAACAGAAGAGTCAGTTGAAGGGTCACCAGGCTGGGACTGGCCACTGGGAGGCCTTATGTCATGTGGTCTCTAAGCTTGCCCTTCTGCAACCTTACCATCTGACACAGCCAGAGATGTTCACACGGCCCCCATATGAAGACATGCACATTTTCTGTGCCTGGGAAGTGGAGCACACAGGCAGATAGCACATGTGCACACACCCATGGGATCACTGATTGATTGATAGCCCACTGTACAAGTTGTTAAAATATTCCCATGCTACTGCTTTGAGCTCACCAAGTGCTTCCTGTTCCCCACCACCCGGGACCTCCCAACCTTCCAGCAACTAAAGGGTCAACATTGGCTGTTAGGGGCTTCCAGCACCCTCCCCAGATGGATCAATGTCCATTCTGACTATACGTTCTCCATAGGCAGAACAAGTTGTTAAATATTTTGAATATTGCTCTTCCTCACAAACAGAACTCAGGTACTAATGTGCAAGCAGGAAAGGTCTGACTAGAGAGAGAAAGGAATGAAAGTCTCTGAGAAACTGGTTTCCATGAGTGGCGAGATCGCCATGAGGGCAGGGCTGGGGTCTTAGCTACGTGGCTGTAATTAATCTGTTCAGGAGTGGTCAGGTCTTGGGGGGACTGTTCACATTAGCCAGATCACCAGATACTGATTTATAAACTGAAAGGCCAGTGTATTATCTCCCAGGAGGAATACCACTGCAGTACAGCCTTCAGTACAGTAGGCCCTTAAAATCCACAGCTGTAGAAATGTTTGAATAAACTCTGGCTTTCTCCACATCACATTCCAAACATAGTCTTGTGTGTTTCCCAAGTTTCCTCTGGAGCAGCCTAGGGTGGAGAAGAGATGCTCACTTGCCCGCGGGCTAAGGGCCCACTCCCTAAGGGCCTATTCGCTGACAACCAGCCTCACCTCATACACAGTGTAGACCTGGCCTCAGCAAAAATGGCCAACCATGACACATTAGGGCTTCTTAGTGGCTCACATACATCATTTAATCCTCAAATGCACACACCCAGGCTGGGAGTCTTCTCTCCCCCATTGGGAGAGAAGTTGGGATTAGAATCTTGACTCCACGTCTTCTGAGGGATAGAACATGAGGGCAAAGGATACCAGCTTGTGAGAACAGAAGGGGCAGTTGTGTGGTCACCAGGCCAGGCCAAACCACCATAGGGCTCATGCAACCAAATTGTTATTAGGAGTTTTTCCATGAGCAAAATGAGCTTAATTATTCATTCATTGAATTGACTATGTATTGCTGTATAACCATCACCCCAAGACTTGGTGTCTTAAAACAACAAATATTTATTTTCTTAATTTCTGGAAGTCAGACATCTAGGCACAGCTTAGCAAGTCGGTCTGTTTTGGGAATCTCTTCATGAAGTTGCAGTCAGGATGATAGCTGGATTGGCAGTCATTCTGAAAGCTTGACTGGAAATGGAGGATCTCCTTCTAAAATGGTTCACTGTCCTGGTTGTTGGCTGGCGGCCTCTCCATAGGGCTGCTTGAGTGTCCTTATGAGGAGGCAGCCAACTTCCCCCAGAGCCCAAAAGAGAAAGCAAGGAGAAGCCACAGATCTTCTGACTGACATATTCTACTGGTCACAGACCAACCCTGATACAGTGTGGCAGGGGACAACAGAGGGCATAAATATCAGGAGGCAAGAATCACGGGGCACCACTGTGAAGGTTGGCTACTACCTTCATTGAGTATGTACTATATGCTATTATATCAGTAGTAGCTAACCCTTCTATAGTGTTACATGCTTAGAACATAGCAATTCATACCTTTAGCCTCAACTCAGGTCACCCCCTGATATAGTGTCCACATGAAGGAAGGTCTTTCTAAAGGCTCTGGATCTGACAGGAGAGACTGGGCAGCATTCATAGCCCAGCTCCACCTCTTACTACCTATGTGAACTTGGACAAATACCTTAATTGCTGAGCCTCGGCTTCTTTATCTGTAAAATGGGACTACTGCAGCAGATATTGATAAGAAAATTAAATGAGTTGATATTTGGAAAGTTCTTAGAATTATGCCTGGCACATTGGTAAACCTTACATGTGTTTGTTAAATATATGAATTAAGTAAGGTCTGTCCCAGGTGTCCAACTCACCCTATGTACTTGTCAGATGAAAAAAACTGAGTCACAGTGTAGTTAAAACTTAACAAGTGTGACAGATAGTAGCGGAACTAAGATTTGAACCCAGGTTGTCTGGCTCTAGAGGCTGGGCTCTTCACTATAAGCCAAATAAACTAATAGTAAAGGACAGCTCCCCTAGCCTCCTCACATGGCCTGCCAAATCCTGGGGAAGTGTGAGGCAGTCCCACTGGCCTCTAGCTGGCCTCTCCCTTCTCTCCCCACTCAGAAAGCAGTGAGTTGTCCTGCCAGCCCTGACTAGTCCCAGCACTGGGGACCTGCTGAGGACAGGGGAGCTGGTGCTCTGGAGTTGATGTACCCTTTGCCCCCATCCCCCAGAAGGAGGAGAGGGCTCTATCCCCACCTGTGGGAGTGCATGAACCCCAGGAGTTGGTGCTTCAGCCTGCCCCCCAGGGCCGGACAGTGCGCTGCAGGCTGACCCGGAACAAGAAGGGCATGGATCGGGGCCTGTATCCTTCCTACTTCCTGCACCTGGACACAGAGAAGAAGGTGGGCAGGGCAGACGGCAGGGAGGAGGAGTAGAGCTACCAGAAACCTGGCTCAGTGAGGGTCTAGAGCCAAAATAGGGGCCTAGGCCTAAAGGGCAAACAGATTTCTCCTTCCCCTTACCCACCTCCTTTCTCACCCCATCCTCTCTTCCCATCCACTCGCCTGTCTCCCTCTCTCCCCAGGTGTTCCTCTTGGCTGGCAGGAAAAGGAAACGGAGCAAGACAGCCAATTACCTCATCTCTAGTGACCCTACCAATCTGTCCCGAGGAGGGGAGAATTTCGTCGGGAAGCTGAGGTGAGGCTGGGAGGCTTAGGGCAGCAAGAGGGCCTCGGCCAGTCACCGCTGTCTCCCTGTGCCTGGAAGAGTGCCCACCATGTTGGACACTCGGGAAAAGTCCCCTGTCACAGGGCTTCTCACACCATGCCATGCATAGATCACTTGGGGGTGTTGTTAAAATGGTTCAGTGGGTCTGGGTTGGGGGCAAGAGTCTGCACTTCCAACAAGCACCCAGGCAATGGCCTCACTGCTGGTCTGGGGACCTCACTTGCAGTAGGGCGCAAGGACCATGAGGGCTGGGGCTGGGCTTGTCTTCTTCATGACTGAATTTCCAGCACTGGTACATAATAACTACTCAATAAATACTTGCGAAGTGAATGAATGAGCAAATATTTATCACTTACCCTATGCTGAGTCTATATCCCATCTAATTGTCACCACAAATCTGAGAGGTGAGAGGAAAGTGAACCCCTAAGTCAAACCTTATTGTATATAACAAACACTTCTGTAAGGCCTACCTATGTGTCAGGTGTAGTTCTAAGTAACTTCCAAATATTAACCCATTTAATCCTCTTATCAACCAAGTAAGGGAAACACTGTTTTTGTGCCTATTTTACAGGTGGGAAAGTTGAGGCCCAGAGAGTTTAAGCAACTTACCTAAGATCACACAGCTAGTAAGAGATGCAGCTGAAATTTGAATGCTGCCCAGTCTCCATCTAGATCCAGCTTTTAAAAAGACCTCATGGGGGAAACGTGGGACAGGGGACATGAACTGCTCTGATCTAAAACATTCCTACCCTTAAAGTAGGAGGTTCTCAAAATGGCTTGGCTGTGAGGATCTTGGAATAGGGGTGTGGAATTCCCTCAGCCCTGCCCCTAATTCTACCCTGCTTTCAGGTCCAACCTCCTGGGCAACCGCTTTACCATCTTTGACAACGGACAGAACCCTCAGCGTGGAGGAGGCGGCACTGATGTGGGGAGCCTTCGGCAGGAGCTGGCAGCTGTGATCTATGTGAGAACTCCACCGGTCCCCCAAGGCAGGACCCTCCCCTTGCAGGGGCCGGCCTAACAGGCATCTCCCTCCCAGGAAACCAACGTGCTGGGCTTCCGAGGTCCTCGGCGCATGACGGTCGTCATTCCCGGCATGAATGAGGACAATGAGAGGGTCCCCATCCGGCCCCGAAATGTGAGCCCTGCACCAATGTGATGCATCTCCCTGAGGGTCCTGCTCTCTAGGAGACCCACTCCAGGGGAGCTGGGGAGCAGGGGCTCAGCTTGGCTAATACCTAACCCCCTCAACATACCCACCACACTCACAAATTCATCCTGGCAACTGTGGAATGAACTTGGGGGTTATGTAATTGAACTCACTGAAACAAGCACAATGGGATTTTTTTCCTAGTTTACATCAAATCATCCATTCATAGAGTCATTCAAAACACATATATTGAATGCTGAGCATTATTCTAGGCAACTGAAAGACATCAGTGGACAACACAAAAGTCTGCCTCATGAAACTAGCATTCTAGTGGAGGAAGAGACAGTAGACAATAATTGTGATAAATAAGTAAATTATGTGGTATGTTAGAAAGTGGTAAGTACTCTGGAAAAAAGAAAAAGTCAGACAAGGGACAAGAGATAAGAAGAGTGCTGACCACTATACAGTGGTCTTAGTGGGCCTTATTGAGAAGGTGAAATTTGAGCAGTCTTCAAGGAGGCAAGGGAGTGAGCTTACAGTTATCTGGGGGAAAGAGCACCTAGCCAGAGGGAAGAGTCAGTGGAAAAGCCCTGAGGCAGGAGGGTGCCTGGTGGGTTTGAGGGTCAGCAAGGGGGCCAGTGTGGCTGGAGGGAGATAAGGCCAAAGAGGTGAGAGCCAGAGATAGCCTGTATAACTGGTTTTTACTCCATGAGAAACAGGAAGCTATAGCAAAGTTTTGAGCAAAGGAGTGACATGATTTGACTTTTATTTTAAAAAGCAAAGGTTTCGTGTGTATATGTTTGTGTGTGTGTGTGTGTGTGTATGTGCGTGTGTGTGTAGCACAGGGTAAGATGGAGAGATGTCCTGGATAGAGGTGGCCTCCTTCAGAGAGCCAGTCTGTAGCACTGTAGGTTGGCTGAGTCCATGATTTCAGAAATGGGATGACTGGCATGCCCCACATTCACAGTGAAGTCACTTTACTCATTTACAATGAAAAATAATACCCCATCAGCTGATCACATCCTTCCCTACTGGGAAGTCTCACCATAGTCAGAGGCCCAGCCAATCTATGGTGCACCAGCTGTGGGAGGCTCTGGTCTTGGGAAACTTGTGGGGCTCACAGTTGCTCCTTCCGTGCCTGGAATAAACACACAGATTTAAGGGCGGTGTCTCCTGCATGTGTCTGAGCTTGGTAAGAACTACCTTGTGCTGCTTTGAATATATAGTTCATTCATTCTAAAATCATTTATTAAAGCCAGGCACTGAAGATTCAAACTCAGTACAACACTTACCATATCAAAACAATGTCTGATATTTATAGAGCATTTACTCTGTGCCAGGAATTGATCTAAATAGCACTTCATTCGGTATTTGCTTATTTAATCCTCACAACACCCTACTGTGAGGGAAACTGAGACACAGCCGTTAATACTGTGCCTGCCCTTAGAGTAATTCTGTCCATGAAAGTGCAGCAGGAGAAATGGTAAGAGCAAGGTGTTATGGAAGCTCAGAGCTGAGACATTTACATCTGACACGGGATTAGGAAGGCTTCTTGGAGGACATGATCCTGAGTGGACTCACTCTAACCTATGAATGTGAACAGGTGACAAGAAAACTTGGGGAAGAAATGTCTCAAGAGTCCTGTCACCTAGACACCTCTCCTTCCTTCCAGAAACTCTCTTCCAGGACATCTTGTTTTAACCAGTGTTTACCTGTCCATCTTGCCAAGCTCCACTGTAGGCTCCTTGTGGGTCCTAGAATGTCTGACCCATCCTCGTAATCAGGTGCCAGCATGTGTCCAATCCTAAGGCCCCTGGCACACCAATGGCACAGAGTCCCTACTGTGTGCCAGAAGCTACTTTCCATTTCCAGCTCCCCACTTTGGCATCCCACATCAAAGTTTTATTCTCACAGATGTACACTCTGACCAAAAGGACACCACAGATACTAAGCATGCTCTCAACAAACCCTGAATGGATGCCCACATCCACACCCCCGCACCCCCCCCTCCACACACACACACAGGGCATGATGCACAGGTCCCCAGGGCCCTCCCCCCATCCCAAGATATCTTGGCAACCCCACTGTCCTTTTCCTAATACTATCCCCGGCCCCCCAGGCCAGTGATGGACTGCTGGTGCGCTGGCAGAACAAGACACTGGAGAGCCTCATTGAGCTGCACAACAAGCCACCTGTCTGGAATGATGACAGTGGCTCCTACACCCTCAACTTCCAAGGCCGAGTCACGCAGGCCTCAGTCAAGAACTTCCAGATTGTCCATGCTGATGACCGTGAGTATCTGAGGGCCTGAGCCAGGCTGTTCCCCACTGCCTCCAGGACCCCAACCCCAACGCAGGCCTTTCCCCACCATTTCTCCCTCCCTCTCACAAACACACACTGGCAAGAAGCTCTCCTTTATCCTTGGAGCCAGAACGTCTGGGAATGTCACTCTCTCCTGCAGGGGCACATTGACACTATGCTCCCAGGAGCCTCAGAGACTCCCAGCAGGTGTCTTGGGGCTCATGGTTCCCAGTCTACCATTGTTCCATTCTAACATTGACCAGAGCCTGGGGTAGATACTGGGATATTCTGGGTAAGACTGTGTTGAAGGAGAGTTGAACTGCTGGAGTCTGAAAACCTCTGATAGCCCAACCCCTGTGTGGTCAGAGAGAGTGCTGAGACTCAGAGAGGGCAGTGCCTTACCCAGAGTCTCTCAACAACTCCAGGCAGTCATACTGACCCTCCAAATTTATTTCACAAACAGTGTTTTCTATATGCAAGGCACCATTCTCAGGATTTGACAGATACTGACTCATTAAATCTTTTCAACAACCCTGTAAGGAAGGTATTATTATTATTGTCCCTATTTGGCAGATAAGAAAACTGAGGCACAAAGAGGTTAAGTAACTTACCCAAGGTCATACCGCTAGTAAGAGATAGAGATTAGAACCCAGGTAGTGACTGCAGTGCCCCAGCTTCCAACCCCTTCAGGATGATTATTTTTTAGGAGTAGGGTATGTTATTCAAGCATTTAAGTGCCTACTCTATCATCCTCTCTCAAGTGAGGTCAAAGGCCAGCCTTGGAGGAGTTAGGGAAACAAGATGTACCTGGGACACAATTCAGTAAAAAAAAAATGTTCCTGTTATCAGCCTTGGAGAGGTCCCCACTAGGGTGAGGAGACTTGGGGGTGGAAAGGTATCTCCCAAGGGACTCTAGGTTTCCAACACTGGCTAACACTGAGTGAGTCCCCCATCCCCCATGCCATCCTAGGGATGTGCACCCAGTGTCACCTGTCCTGAGGCCTTGGAAAACTACTCTCCAGATCACATTTCTGGTGGAGCTTGGTCTGCTGAGGTTGGGGGTATTTTTAGCAACTTCCTGTCCCTATAGATGCTGGGGGAGGTGCTGGGATTGGTGCTGGGAACTTGGACCAGATATGGGATAGGAGCTTGGTGGGGCCACTGCGTGAGGAAGAGGACCAGGGGGGTAGTCAAGGCATAGAGCCTTGCAGTCTAAGACAAGGACTTGGGGTCCGGGGGCGGGGAGAAGGAATGGGGCCAGAAGACCACACGGAAAGGAAGGATTCTAGGCTTGGGTAAGTTTGGCAGGTTCCTATACTTAAGTGCCTGTCTTATGCATAGCCCTGGGTGGCAGAAGATAAGGCAGGATCCCGGCCCTCAGGGGCTTACAGTCGGATAGATGGTAAAACTGCAGGTGGGACTGATTGGGGGAGATAAAAGGGACAGATGAGTGTAGGGTAAATAACTGTGATGGTGGCTGAGGATTGGCGCCCCAATGCAAAGGAGGGCATTTTCTGCCAGGGAGGGGAACCCAGGACCTCTCGGGCGCCCCCACCCCTGTCTGTGTCCGTAGCTGACTATATCGTGCTGCAGTTCGGCCGCGTGGCGGAGGACGCCTTCACCCTAGACTACCGCTACCCGCTGTGCGCCCTACAGGCCTTCGCCATCGCCCTCTCCAGTTTCGACGGGAAGCTGGCCTGCGAGTGACCCCAGCAGCCCACAGCGCCCCCAGAGCCCGGCAGGGTCGGGGGAAGGATTCAGTGGAGGCTTGCAGGATCCCTTAACCAAGTCCCTACTTGAAGACTCCTCCCTTGTCGGGGGCTGACCCCTCCACCGTCTCCGGTGACCTCCATCCACTCCTCACCCTGGCGCAGGCTGAGGCAGGGGAAGAGCTGAGGCAGCAGGTTGGGCGGAGATGAAGAACATCTGGAGTTGGAGGCGCACATCTGGTCACGGAGCTAGCCTGCAGGGCTTCACCAACCCACCCCCACCCAGCCCCGTGCCCGTCACTTCCTGTCCAGGAGCAGTAGTCAGTGTTGTTTTTACCCCCAACGGGACCATACTAGGGCTCCGAGGAGCTGGGGCGGGCGCGGAGGAGGGGGGTAGGTGATGGGGGATGACGACCCAGGACCCACATCGCCAATAAAGACGCGTCCTTTGCAAACGAGGCAGTGGTTCTTCATCGCGTGCGGAGAACGAGGCGGCGGGAGGGGTCCGGAACGCGGGAGAGTCCGGAGGGCGGGCTGGAGGCCTCCCTTCCCCACACCCCCATCCTTTCCCGCCCTCGCCCCCGGCGTTCCCGAGTCCCTTCCCCCGCGCCCATCGCCGGTCCTACCGAAACTCGGCGGGCTCGCAGTGTCGAGACGCCCCCGGCGGGGGCCCCGGGGAGCTGGGCCGAGAGGGAGGGCCCCGTAGGTCGGGGAAGAGGGGGAAAGGGAGAAATTCGAGAAACAAGCCTCTCGGGGAGAACCAGACAAACCGGGTTCGGGTAGGGCGGGCGCAGCCGCCCGGGCGGGGCCGGGTCTGGGGCCCCGGGAGTGGGGGACGAGCTCTCGGGCGGGAGAGAGCACTCTGCCTAGGCGGCTCGGCCCTTGGGTGGGGGGTAGGGAGTCCCGAGGCCCGAGCGCTCCCGCTCCCCCGGGCTCCTCGTGACGCGGCACCCAGGCCCGGGCACCGACGGGAGTCCTGCCCTCCAAACGGGAGCTCCGCCCTCGACCCCGCCCAGGCCAGAGCCCCAGATTCCGGTGGGGTACTTGGGCGGTGGGTAAAGGCCCGCCGTGCGGAGGAGGTTGTGAGAATCGCACCGGAGGCAGAGGAGAGGGGCTCCTGGACGCAGGAAGGCCGGGAGCTGCCCCGGAGCGCAAAGCCGCGGGGCTGACAGCCCGAGCGCCTGCGGGGGGCGGCCCCACGAGGCCCCGCCCCTCCCGGCCGGTGCCCGCCCCCTGCGTGCCCCGCCCCCTCCTTCCCCGCAGCCCCCACCCCCCCCCGCCCCCCCCCGCCCCAGCTCCTCAACACAAACTTTCCGTCCCGCTCGCTCCCTCCTCCGCGCCCGGCGCCTCCCGCTCCAGCCCGGCTCATTCCGCACATTCCGGCCAGCCCCCTCCCCACGATCCCCCTTCCCGGCCCCCCTCTCAGCTCCTTCGGGCCCGGCGGAGCGGCCCGGCCGGAGCGCCCCCCGGAGCTCGGACCAGGTAAGCCGAGCGGTCGCCGGGAGGAGGCCCTGCTCGGAGAGGTGGTTTGGTTGGTTGCTTCTGGATTGTGTGGGGAGGACACTTAGGGGGGACTGGATCCCCGGGCTATTGTCCAGCCTGAGCCCCAGCCCCTGTTCTGGGTGCCGCGAAGTTTAGAGGGGGGGGGGGGAGCTCTCCGGGAAGCCCCGCCCACCACCACCACCCCGCGACCCGGGCGAATTGGTCTGGCGAGGTAGGGGAGCCGGGAGCTTGTACCAGCGTACGCGTTTGGGGTGTCGAGACAGGGGCCTGGGGGCCTGCCACCAGGGAGCTCGGTACCAGGGACACCCAGTCCCGGGCTCTGCCGCCCTTTGGACTCCCGGCTTGCTCTCTATCGGAGCCCGCCCGGCCCCAGCTCCGAGCAGGCCTCAGCCCGGCTTCCCGGCGCCTAGGCCGGCTCCTGCGCTGGATTGTGTAGGGTGCCAGGGAGCAAAGCTGCGCGACCTGGGCGTGTGCCCCCTGAGAGTCAGGGGCTTCAGTTCCCCCCATTTCTGCCGCCTGCGTCGGGGCAAAGGTTCGGAGTGCCAGCCCTGAACTTCGTGAGCCTGGCCTCAAAGGGGGCTGGATTTGGGGCCTTCTCATTGCCACACTTCCTCAGAGCCCTTGTTTAGACTCAGGAGGGTTTGAAGGCTACTTCCCACCCAACCCCATTGTCTGTCATGCCCTTTACTCCTGCCTGGGGAGGGAAGGGGAGAGTGCCCGTCTGCATCTGCTTCTCAGCCTACCCAGGCCCTGGGGCAGTGTCACTGAGACCCCACTCTGTCACCTTTCCCAGAGAGGTGCTCTGATCTAGGAGAGTTTCTTGGACAACGAGGAATGAGGCCTTGGGGGAGGGCTTCTCAGGGGGCATCTCCCTCTGTATCTTCCTTCTCTCCAGGTAGAGGCAGAACCAGGTCAGGCCTGGACTTGTAGCCCAGGAGAGCGGGCGATAGGAGTGGGGGCTGGATACGGCTCAGAGGGACTGGTGCCGGTGATGGCTCTGTATGTCCCCTGTGGCCTGGTTCTGTGTGTCTGTCCAGTGCAGGGGGCTCCGACACCTCCTTGGAGGGAATGCTGGGGGCAGCCTGGAGCACGGTGGGAAATCAAAGTCCCCAAAAGTTAGAGATTTGGGGGAATTACATCCCCTTCCCTTCCAGAGTCTTATAGCTCCTTTCCAACACCCTCCCCCTATGGATGCCACCCCAGGATATAGTTCTGTGATTTCTGGATCCCTGCTCACCCTGTGGGCAGGAGATGGACACAGGTATCTCCTAGGGCTAGGCTATCTGGTGAGGATGACTTAAGGGGCCCTGGATGCCCCCTCCTCAGAGACAGGCTGGGAACTAATGGGAGCCTCAGTTTCTTGGGCCTTCCCCCACTGTCTAGGGAGGGAAGAGTAATTAATGCTAATTAACACATTTGGGCTGGGGAATGGCTGAGTAGGATGGTCAGTGATTGGTGGGACAGAGCTGTGTGTGTGTGTGTGTGTGTGTGTCTTGCGCCCTGCTCCTACCCCCACCCTCAGGTTTGCAGACCCCTAGTACATTCTCCCAGTTGAGGGAATATTAAAGCCAGAATGAGACATCTCAACAGAGGAGGTCAAGAAATAAAGATCTGGTCCCAGCTAGGCCTTTAACCAGTTGTGTTATCTTGGCGGCCCTCTTTGGGCCTCAGTTTCTCTGCTTGGAATAAGTGACTTTTCAGGTCCCTTTTCTCTGAGCTCATCCCAGAGTCTCTGTCTCCTAGTCAGTTGGCCTTCCTTATTATGGAACCTGAACCTGGTGGGATCTGGAGAAGTGAGTGAGGAAGAAGGTGAGGACAAAGCAGGGGGTGACTAAGCAGTGGCTAAACCAAGTGAGTGTGGCTGAAAAGGTTGCGGACAACAGGCGTCAAGGGGCAGGGAGGCCAGGTGGAGTTGGGGGAACTTGCCCTCTGAAGTGGTTGTGGGGTCTGGCAAGACTGGACAGGATGTATGGTGTTCAGAGGCCATTTGGATAGTTGGCCTCCCTGCCCAACTCCCAGAGTCCCCTAGGGGCTCAATGTGGAATCTAGAAGGGAAGAGAAGCTATCAGTTCTGCCCACCTTGGGAAGGGAAGAAGAGCAGAGGGCCCACTCACAGTGAGGAGAGCAGGGAAGGGACCTGGTAATACCAGGTGCCAGGGAGCTGGGGAACCGTGGGGGCTCAAAACGCTGCAGCTTCCTGTGGAGGTGGCTAGGAGGTCCTGGTCTCTTCTTCCCACATAGAGCTGCAGATGCTGTGGGGTCTGAGGGGTGGCCTTGAGGATCCCTTGGGGCAGCCCTGGGGCCGTGGCGGTAGCTTCTGGTCGGAGCTGGGGTGGAGGTCAGCCGTCAAGCTGGGTCATCCCATGGCCTTGCCCTGCCTTCCCCTCCCGTCCCTCCTGGTGGTGTGCCAATCTAGGGTTGCCTGCAGGAGAGATGCTGCCCTCCAGGGAGGACTCAGAAGGGTAGACGGCCCTGCCTGTCCTCTTGGGGTCCCACGGGAGGCTGAGCCAGGGGCCAAATAATCCCATGGCTCTGTAGATCCCCAAAGCCTCAGCCCTTGAGGTTTCCTAGAGCGCTGATTGTTTCCTGTACTCCCTGCCAGGCCCAAGAGGACAGGAAGTGATAGAGGGAAATGAGAGTGCAACTGCCTGTGACACTGGATGTGTGTGAGAGGGGCTGAGTGGGCTGTTCTGTGTGGGCGAGACTGTGGGGTGGATGCATTGTGAGGGAACCGGGTAAAACCAGTTTGTGTGGGACCACATGTGAGGCTGGGTGTGAACATGAGAGACACTGGGACATCATGTGTGGCTTTGAAACATCACACATGTGAGAGAAATTAACATTCCATGTGTGACTGATACTGCAGGTACACATGGGAGACCATATGAATGATGCTCTTAGTGTGTGACTGGGACGCTGTGTGTGTAAACAAGCTGTAACAGGTGACGTTCTGTGTGTGTGAGTGGCCACCATATGGGATGTATTTATGAAAGAAACGGCTTGACCAACAGTGGGAGCCAGTGTCGGGCACTGAATGGGATTCTGTGCTTATCTGTATGAGGGACACCGTGATTGTATGATGCTGCACCGGTCAAAAGCACGAGTGATATTCCATGTGACATATGATGCTATGGTATGACTATTTGTGATCCTGTCTATGTGTGTGAGCAACACATAAGATGGCCTCAGGTCTGTAGAAACTCTGATGGTCTGTGTGTGTGACTATATAGGACACTGCGTATGAGAAAAACCGTGACAGCTGGGTGCATGCATATGAGGGAACAGCCACATGTACGGGACATGGTGGACTATATCCCATACAGCATATGTGTTCTGAGGAGTTGCATGATCAGCCTAGTGTGAAGTAAGTTGTGTGGGTGAACCTGAGCACGAGAAAGAAAACTCTGCAGGCATGGCGCTGCGTGTGGGGGACACTGTGGGGTGTGCCAGAGACTGACTCTGCGGGTGGTCACTATGTGAGATTGTCTGGGACTGTAGGGCAGTGTGGGTGACATCCCGTGGGGCTGTGCCAGACATGGCGTGGGATACCATGTGTGACAAATCTGGGGACTTGGGACCCCGATGCTTGGGGCGTCTATGCGGAGGACCATGAAAAAGACAACTGTTGAGAACAAAGAAGGAATGTACTTAATGCCACTGAATTATGCACTTTAAAATGGTTAAATGGAAAATTTTATGTATATTTTATCCCAGTAAAAAAATTTTGTATAGAAAGAAGAGAGACGCGGGTAATGGTGAATGTGCGAGACAGTGGCTGTGAAGAGGATCGTGGTGTGTAACAGAGGAAGAGCCAAGAGAAAGCGTGTGTGTCTATAGATGACACTGTGACTCGTGGTTCAGGGAATGACTGAGGGACTGGTGGCAGCTCGGTGGGTGCCCCAGAGCCCAAGGGGCCAGGGTGAGGCAGGCAGAGGTGGGGCCCACTGACATGTTAACTGAGAACTGTGAAGCCCAGTTTCCCAAGTTACCCATTGGCTGCATCCCAACCTGGATACCTGGCCTTGCACAGAGGTCAAGAGTGGGGGCTAAGGGACCTGGGCCCCTTCTCTCTGCAGGAGGTTTGAGGGCTCTGAGTCTCTACCTTCCCACCCACCTACACTGTGTGGCAGTGAGGATGAGCTTTGAACAAGGAAGCCTGGGGGGCTGCCCCACCCCCTCTGCTCCCTAGAAGCCCATGCCCTGAGTAGTGGGGGCGGGTGGGTGCAGAGAGTCTTGATTCCCAAATTGGAAGCACATTAATAAGCAGGGAGGAGGAGGGGCCCTGCCCCGCCCCCCTCCTAGAGGGCTCTGCAAATTGCTTCCTCCTGTGAAAACCTGACCCTGCCCCAGGAAGGAGGGGCCTCCCTCCCCAGTCTGGCAGGGTGTGGCCACTTGGCAGGGTCCCTCAGGGGTCCTTGGGTCGGTGGGGGAGGCAGACACCATCTCCATCCCGCTCTGCTCTCCCGTCCCAACCAGAGCATGGCCACTTCTAGGGTGGGAGCCTCTGGCAGCTGGAGAACAGCTGGCTCTGCTATGGAGGCGGGCAGGGAGGAAGGAGAGAAAGGCAGAGGGGGTAGGAGGTTCCCTTAGCCCTCATCAGCTCCCCTCCCCATCCTCAACCCCCTGACTGGTCAGCCCAGCCCAGGTGTGGGGGTGGGAGGCTGAGGATAAAACTTCTCATTTCACTATGCTTCCCATACCTTGAGTGAAGTTCTTACTCAAAGTACAGCACCTTGGGGGCTGGGGTCCCTGCAACAGTGGACAGCTGCTGGCTGTTAGACCCAGTAGGGTTACTGGACTCAGTTTGTCCTCAGGGGGGCTGGTGCAGGAAGAGGAATAATATGGGGTTGGGGGAGACACCTGCTTTGACTTGTCTGCATCCCCCAACATGGAGACTCTGGGGGAGCCCAAGATCAGTCCTGTCCCTTCCCCCCTTGAAAGGGATATATAGTGCTGGGTGGTCTGGAGGCTGGGGGGCTCTAGGGTGGGGACCTAGGGCCTCTGCAGCAGCCCAGCTCTGGCCTCCATCCTTGGAGCTGTCCAGCCAGTTATTCCAGCAGGTCTGGCCCCAGGGTAGAGAGTGGGCAGCAATGTGCCCCTTGTCTCCCCCAGGGCCTCAGATCTGCTCACCCAGCCTCCCAGCTCCCATCTCTGCCATCACCCAGAGGTACCTTCTGACCTCAGAAGGCCAGAGGCCCTGGGAGAGAGGGAGTGGGTGGGGCTGGTCAGACGGAGGGTAAAGGCAGAGTGGAACACAGAAGCCCACACCTACAGGGCCTCTGCAGAGAGAGGTGGGAGCAGATGGGACAGGACTGGGGATGTCCTGGACATGGCCCTGTTGCAGCTGACCCCAGCCTCCAGCAATGGCTTCCCTTGTCACTCCTTCCCTCTAGGTCTGCCCCGGCCTCTGGGTCTTCCTGGCATTGGCTCATGAGCACAGGTTCACATGCTCTCTCCCTCTCCCTCTCTCTCCCACTCTTCCTCTTTCTCCCTCCCTGTCTCATTTTCCCTACCTCGGTCTCTCTGTCCCCGCTGGGCTCCTCCTGACCCACCCCCTCCCTGCCCGACTGTATCTGAGCTTAGTGATCTCTCCACTTCCTCCCCATTTCGCCCCTCAGCCATGTGTCCCCTTCCCTCTGTTAGCCAGGATCACTCGCTCTCCCCACCTCACCCCCACCAGCTCTTCTCAGTCTCTCTGTCTCTCCCTCTGAGTCTCACTCCAAGGTTTGCTCTGTCTCTTCTTTTTGTCTCTCATTCTCTGGGACTCCCCCATCTCTCCTGTCTGTCCCTCTCTCTGGGTCTGTCTCCCCGACACTGGCTCCCTCTCCCCTCCTGTCTCAAGCTCCACCCCCTGGTCCCTTACTTGGGTCTCTCTCCTCTCCTGCCCCTCTTGGTGACACAGCCCAGCCAGGCAGAGGTGCTAGACCCCTAGAGGAGCACCAACAAGCAGACTGGGGTGGGGGCTGCCTCTGCTCCCAACCCCTCCCTGTACAGAGAAGCTGAGACCCTGCCCCTAGCTGGGCTGCCGTACAGGGGCCTGCTGTCCTCCTAGGCAGCCCTCTCAGCTTCCCCTTATGCCTGAGTCCCACATTCCCCACAGTCCAGCCCTGCAACTGCCAAGGAGCCCTTAGCCACCTCCCTCATCGCGGGGCTGGGTCCCAGTGGTTTGGGGGTCTGAGGAGAGGAGATGGGCACACACACTCAGCCTCATCCCACCGCACCGCTGTAACTCTGGGAAGAACAGGGGAGCCAGTCCACAGTCCTCGTGCTGACCCACTCCTGAGGGGAGCAGTAGGACATAGCCCCCAAGCTGGGCTCAGCCTGGCCCAGTTACCCATGCCCATGGTATGCCCCGGCCTGGGGGTACAAACATTCTCACTTGGCTGTCAGCCTGGGCACTCACACAGCACATGTGCCCATGTGTGCGCCTATGCATGGCTGTGTGGGCTGGGGGTCACCTGCGGGCCCATGCGTTGGTGCCTCTGCCCACAGGAGTTCTTAGAAAGTGGGTCTTGCATGTGCCTACCAGCCAGCGGAAGGGATGGTGGTCCTGCTTCTCTCCTTGAGTCGCCCTTGCAGCCACCCCCTGGGCGCCCCTCCCCCTCACCAGCTGCCAGCAGTCCCAGCCAGGGGCCGCCGCCCCGCCCCCCCAGTCTGTCCCAGCTCCCAAGCACTGCTGTGTTCGCCATATTTGGCCACAGTGCTCCTGTGGGGGGCGGGGCGGGGCTGACATCACCCCGAGAAGGGGGGGCCACCGCCTGGATGAGGGGAGGCAGGCATACTTGGGGGAGGCAGGAAAGTTGCTTTGAAAAGTCTGAGGCTGCCCAGGCCCCCCATGTGCTGGGCCCCTGCTGCTGAGGGAGGCTCAGAAAAGGACTGTGGGGAAATGGGTTGAGGATTCCCCTGGGAGACGTCTTAGCTCCTCGTAGCCCCTCTTCTGCCTTCCCTATGACACTGGCCCCGGGCAGTGTCAGACCTGGGGGGAGGCCCTGCATCCCAGTGATTAAGTGTCAGAGTCACTGGGTTCCCCCAGGGTCCCTGCTTCCCTCACATTTTTATTGCAGGAACTTGGCCTTAGAGGTTGAGGATAGATGGGGATGGGGATACAGCCTCCTGGGGTGGAAGACAGGCTGGGGGTAGAGACAGTGGCCCTCTCATTGGTAAGGAGCGTGGCTTCCTCTCTCCCTGGCTTCCCTCCAGTGTGGGAGAGCTATTGGCGGTGGTATTGGAAGCCTCACAGAAAGGGCTACAGAGGTTGGGGGTGGAGGTGGGCAGTCCTTGAACTTGGGCTGAGGGATCCCCCTGGTCTGGACCAGATTGAGCAGTCTCAGGGTGGTTGCCATGATAGCCAGGCCTCCTCTCCTGCTACAGATTGTTGGTCTTCTCAGCCCCCTCCTCTTGGTTAAGAGACTGAGGCCAGATTGCCTGGGTTCAGAACTCCGCTTAAGCACTGATAGCTGTGTGTTCTTCAGCAAGTTGTTTAACCTCTGTGCCTTGGTTTCCTCATCTGTACAGTAGGGATAATGTTATCTACCCCTATAGGTTATTGTGAGGGTTAAATGAGTCCATGTGTAAAATCCCAGAACCAAGTGCCTGCCATATGGCAGGTGTTGTTATTAGTAGTAATATTAAGTCCGAACTCTGTATCTATCTGACATGCAGGCCCCCAGGCCCTTCCCACCCCATGCCACTAGCAACCGGCTTTAAGCTCCCTCAGCAGACAGGTGGCCCCACAGGCAGATGCCCCACCCACTCCGCAGGACCTGGAATTTGTGGCTGAAGGAAAAGAATTTTCTCCCCTGGCTTCTGAGGGGGGGTCCCTCTTCCTCTACCCTGCCCGTGTTTTCCCTGCATCTTGAGCAGAGTCCCAGGATCTAGCCTTTTTGGGCTCCTAGGGCCCTGGGATCCTGATATATATTTGGCATGCAGATTCTGAGACTGAGGGGGTCGGGGTGAGCCTTGGGGCTATGTGTGGGGAGGCGGAGGGACCGGCTGGGTGTGGTCTAAATTAATAGTCCCACCTGGTGTGTGCAGGGAGCTCAGAGTTTACAGAGCCCTGGCCCATCTGCAAAGTGGGCCAGGGCAGAGGCAGGCGTGTGGGTGGTTTATGGGCTGCTGTGGGGCCCGGAGGTTCGGGAACAGGAAGTGGGATGGAGGAGTGGGTGGGGTTGAGCAAGGCTGTTGGCCAGGCACCCGCAGCTTCTCCCTTGCCAGCCAGCAATTGCTCCCCCCTTGAATTTCCCGGAGCACCCCACATTTAGAGTCCTAGGCAGGGTCCTTGTGAGTTATCTTATGGGGAAGGCAAAACCACACCCTTCCTGGGTCCAGAACTCTCTTCATCCCAAAGCAGGTCCTCAGCAGGATTACAGTGATGCTGGGAGGTGATTGAAGGGTGAGGGTCCCTGGTTGGGTATCCCAATGATAGGGAGGAGGAGCTGGCACAGTGAGAGCCAAGGAACACCTCTGAGAGCCAAATGCTGGGCCCTTATGTTCTTCCTCTCTTTTCCCATCATGATGCCTTTGGCAGCTGCACAACCTTGTGAGACTCAGTTTTCCTCAGTTGCCTGGGAGAGGGTCCCCCCAAGGGAGGACATGAGGGAACCCAAGGAGAGGCCAAGGGTGGGAGTCCAGCACAGAGCAGGGGTTCCCACCACTGAGTCCCCCACACTGTGTGTGCGTGATAGGGGGTGGGGCTCAGGGTGGGGGGCCCACACTGTGACTAGGCTCTGTGTTAGGAGGAGGGCTGGAGAGATGAGGGGACTCGTTCACTCCTCAGACCTCCTCCCAAATCTCTCCCTCTCTCCTGGCCCCTCTCTTTGCTACCTTGCCCACTTCCTGCCTCCAGAAGTGAGTGTCCCCCTCTTGTCCAGCCCTGAGAAGTGTCTCCCAGAGCTGCATTTTTGGGATAACTCAACCCTTCTTGCCAGCTCCCTCCAACGCCCTGACAGCCTATGGCTGAGTGAGGCAGGTCCTCAGCCTGTCCCCTCCCAGTGTCCACTACCATGATAGGGTGCAGGAAGGGGGCTGCTGGGCCAAGGGGTAAGGGTTACCTCTCTCCCTCGCCCCCACGCACAGTGCTGTACATCCACCCAGCACCAGAGCCCCATCATTGTCTGCCTTCCCTGCCTTAATTTGGAGGATTGAATGAATGTGAACATGCTTTTTCCCCACAGAAGTATTGTGAGGATGTAAAGCATTGTCACAGTTATTATTGCTATGTCTTCAGTGCTGTGAGCCTGGCATTATCGTTGGCCCTTTGTCATGATTGTGTTTAGTTTTAACCCTCACAACCTCAAGGAAACTTCCCATTTCTGTGACCAGGGCTTGGAGAGGTGCTGTAGGTATCCAAGGTCACTGCTGACTATACACAACCTCTGGTTACCCCCACCCCTGCTAGAGAGCACCTGGCCCTGCAGCAAGAGATTGCCCAGGTCTGGGAGGAGCCTGGCCCTGACCCCTCGCATCTGCCCCCCAGGCTCAGGCTGCCAGTGGGCTCAGGCCCAGAGCCCAGAGCAACCAGCACAATAGCGTCCAACAGCTGGAACGCCAGCAACAGCCCCGGGGAGGCCCGGGAGGATGGGTCCGAAGGCCTGGACAAGGGGCTGGACAACGATGCAGAGGGTGTGTGGAGCCCGGACATCGAGCAGAGCTTCCAGGAGGCCCTGGCCATCTACCCGCCCTGCGGCCGCCGCAAGATCATCCTGTCAGACGAGGGCAAGATGTACGGTGCGTGTGGGGAGGCAGAGGGACACTGGACAGGACTGGGGCAAGTAGCCTGGCCCTCCCTGGCCCCTCCCCCTGCTCTCTGCCCCCTCACCCAACCGGTTTGTCAAAGCCCTGTGGGGCCACCATGGGCGAGTCTGGGCGTGCAAGCCTGTGTGTCTGGATCCTCATAAACAAGCCAGGCTTGCCCCCTCCACCAGAGCATGGCCTAATCTTGACACCCCCATCTGTACCTCCTCTCCTCCCCACTGCTGGCCTGGAGGTTTTGGGGTGACTCAGTGGGCCCAGGAAACTGGGTCAGTCCAGTGTGTTCCAGCTAGGCCCCCCAAGGGAGGACATGAGGGAACCCAAGGAGAGGCCAAGGGTGGGAGTCCAGCACAGAGCAGGGTTTCCCACCACTGAGTCCCCCCCACTGTGCGTGCGTGATAGGGGGCGGGGCTCAGGGTGGGGGCCCACACTGTGACTAGGCTCTGTGTTAGGAGGAGGGCTGGAGAGATGAGGGGACTCGTTCACTCCTCAGACCTCCTCCCAAATCTCTCCCTCTCTCCTGGCCCCTCTCTTTGCCACCTTGCCCACTTCCTGCCTCCAGAAGTGAGTGTCCCCCTCTTGTCCAGCCCTGAGAAGTGTCTCCCAGAGCTGCATTTTTGGGATAACTCAACCCTTCTTGCCAGCTCCCTCCAACGCCCTCTGACAGCCTATGGCTGAGTGAAGCAGGTCCTCAGCCTGTCCCCTCCCAGTGTCCACTACCATGATAGGGTGAAGGAAGGGGGCTGCTGGGCCAAGGGGTAAGGGTTACCCCTCTCCCTCGCTCCCACACACAGTGCTGTACATCCACCCAGCGCCAGAGCCCCATGCAGGGCATGTTCCAGGGTGCCTTCTGCAGGGCAGGGGCTGTCTACCCCACTGCCCCCTCCTAGATGTCTGGGGCAGCCCCACAGGGTATTTTTAGACAGCGCAGTGAGTGGGGTGGAGAGGGGCAGACAGGAAGGGAGGGGCAGTGGGGCTGGTTCTGTCATCAAAGAAAAATTTGGAGAATGTGGCCATTCTGGGGAGAATATGGAACTGGGGGACAGGAGGCCTAGATTTGGGGGCAAAGAGGTATAGGCCAAGCATATGTCAGCATCTCTCAGGGTGGGAGACACTGGTAACCAGTGACATGGGGGTGACACACTCAAGGACAATGACACACTGAGTGACACATCTTGACACAGGCTGTATGTGTGGTAAGCATGTTGGAAACCATCCGGTCCTTCCTGCCCATTTCATCAGAGAAGGGAAGGGACTTGTCCAGGGTCTCCTCGAGTGGCAAGGACAGGAGCCCAGTCCAGAGCTCTTCCAGACACATGGGGACATGCGCCAAGACATCTGCCACCTGGGGCAGGCCTCACTCCCACATGGGTACATACTCAGGGATGGGGAGCTGATGACAAGCACCAGTCCAGGAGGACAGAGGAGGGAGGTCTGCTGGGGGCTGGGAGTCGGGGGCCCAGCTGTCCTGCCACCCTTCAGCCACACCTGCCCTTGTCTGTCTGCTGGGAAACCTGTCAGGCTGCCTGACACTGTTCCACCTTCCCTCCTCCTACTCACCCCCTGCCCCAGCAAGCAGCCCCCTCAGGTCCCGAGGCAGTGGGGGGAGAGCCTGGGACTTGCCCACCACCTTCTCCTGCCCTGCTGATACCCCTGAGGGAGCAGGGGTCAGGGGGAAGAAGGTGGGGAGGGAACAGAAGAACAGTGTTTGGGGAGGGGTCTGGTGTGGTTCCCAGCTGATGGGGGGTCTCCAGCCACCAGCTCCCTCCTTTGCCCGCTCCTCACTTTTTCTCTCTCCCCAATCTAGGTAGAAATGAGTTGATTGCGCGCTATATTAAACTGAGGACGGGGAAGACTCGGACAAGAAAACAGGTAAAGAGAGGATTCATGCTGCAGCTCCTCTGCCCACACACCGTGACACTTGCCTCCCTCAGCCCCTGCCTGTCCGGGGCTGCCCCTTGCCCAGCCCGCTCCCCTCCCTCCCTTCCGCTCCCTGGTGATTTCATATCCCCAGAGCTGCCTCTGACCACCCACCACTCCACCCCAGGCCTCTGGTTAAGTGACCACAGATAAGCCCCACGGGGCAGCTGCATGGCCACTGACCAGTCAGAGAGACAGATGGGTGGACAGACAAGGACAGACGTGCCAAGCCCGGCAGCCTGGTTGAGATAGGGGTGTGTGCTGTTGGACAAGCATCTAACCAGGACCAGGCAGGGGATGGGAGGAGGCAGGGCTGGGAAAGCTTCATGAAGGAGGTAACACTCACGGTACATTTTTAAGAAGGAATAGGATTTAGCCAGGAAGAAAAAAGGGAGAGGATTCTTCCAGCTGAAGAAGTTGGATATGCAAATAATAATTGTGAATCCATACAGAGCTTACTTTATATTAATTAATTTGTTTATTCCTCACAGCAATCTTATGTGGTAGGTACAGTAATTATCCACATTTTACAGATGAGGAAATTGCACTGGGAAGTTAGGTAACTTCCTCAAGGTTCCTCAGCTGGTAGGTGGTGAACCCAGGATTCAACTCCTTGGGCAGAAGAGCCAACGATCAGCAGGGTGGTGGGGTGGAGGGAGGCGTGGAAGAGCTGAGGGCTGTGAAAAGCAGGAGGCCTGAGGGACAGGTTTCCATAGCAGGCAGCTGGGGGCCATAGAAGGAACAGAGCAAGGAGTGGCGGCTGGCAGCTGTCGAGGAATGTTGGTGCTACAGCAGCTGGGGCAGTGGATTAGGGAGGGAGAGGGCCGGGCCCAGGCAGGGAACCATGATGGTAGCCTGGGGGTGGCAACGGTGAGGGTGGTGGGAAATGGGGAAAAAATGATGATTTGAGAGATGATAGGGTGACTTCTAGTCCCAGAAGGGAAGCATTTTGTGACAGGAAAGCTTGAGGGGAGCCATTGGAATGGGTCGCATTTGGGGTGCCTGGCAGAGAAGCAGACTGGAGGCAGGTACCTGGAGGGACAGAGGCCAGCTCTGACCCTCAGGCTTCCCAACCTCCGTGTCTGGGTGGGGTTTGGACCTTGCACCCACCTCCCATGTGTGCATATGACAAGCCTGACTGTCCACCTGGCTGTCTCAAAGGAAGATTCTGAAACACTCCTGCATTTGTTCAGGCATTTATTAAATGCACCCCCCTGGGCCAGCTCATGTTGCCCAGCATTTATTCATTTAGCAAATTGTTGCGCCACCCCTATGTTCTAGGCATTAGGCACCAGATAGACAAGGGCCCTCCCTGTTTCCTGGAGCCTGGGGCTGCGGGAAGAATACTGACCGATCAGACCCTGGGTTCAACCACCTGAGCGCCTCAACTTCTGTTCCTCAGCCATTAAATCAGCTAGTGTGTGAAGATGCCGAGAGCAGCGTGAGCCCTGGATAAGAAGTTGCTGCTATTATTGTCACTACTGTCATTATAGACAGCTTGTCCTGCTTCACCCAAAAGACGTGTTTATAGGAATCTGCTAGAGTGGGAAAGGACCGAGGGACCTTTAAGCTCAGTCATGTTGGCCTGAAGCCCTGAGAGGGGAGCAGAGCCTCTTAATTCTGGGTCCAGCATTATGCCTGCCCTTGGCCAAGTGTCCCGAGAGGCTGGCTGTGCAATGAGGTTTTACAAACCAGTGGTCAGCAAGCTCAGGATTTTCAAAAATGCTGGCCTTTTTCATTTTGCAAGCGTGGTATTCCTCTAACTTTATTCTTTCTTATAACTCTGATATCTAATATATTTTTCAATGGGATCCATCCTATCATTAGGAGAACAAAGCATGTCTTTATGTGTCACAAAGAGCAGCCAGCTGACAGGCAAGTTTTTTTGGTTGTCTTTATCTTATTTTACTTTTGGTAAAAAAAATGTAATTTTAGTTTTTTTTATAGATACATATAGCAATTAATAGCAAGTACACTGCCTCCATATTGGAAAAACAGCTATTACTGTAGGATGAAGCCCCAGGTGACTTTCAGCTATCACAGAGTTGAGCATTTGGAGGTAGTCCTCTTCGCTAAGAGTCTAAAAGAGTCCTGGTAGCATAGCTTGGTGTGAATCAAGTGGGCTCTGAAGTCAGGCCACCTGGGTTCAAACTCCATCTCTAGCCTCCAGCTGTGTGACCTTGGGTAGCTGCTTAACTTCTCTGTGCTTTGGTTTCCCCATCTGTAAATTGGGGATAATATTAGTACTGACTTCTTAATGTTGCTGTGAAGCTCAGATGAGCTGGTGCATGTAAACTGTGCTCAGTAAATGTCAGTTACTGTCATGACATGAAGTTATCAGTAATCTTGTTACACACAAGTCTGATTCCCGTGTACTGGGAGGTAACATAAGAGCACCACCTGGGTCCCAACCGAGTAGTATGGGGGCTGCCCAGCATCACACACATAGTAACTTTCAGTCTATGATTGAAAAGAAAAAGAAACTTTCTTTGTGGGGATAAAAACAGCTTGGAGAGAAAGCCAACAGCAGTTACTGATTATGAAAGTGTGAAGCAACCTAGATAGAGGATCTATGTGTTCCCTTGAATTTCATTGGGAAAACAGTGACATGTAGGTCCTCTGAGGCTCAGGGTTGGAGCCTTGACAGTGTCAAGGGTCTATTGTGCAAGCCCATGGCACATTCATCCACACCGTGATTAGCTCAGGTCTGCCAGGAGAGGCAGGCTTCAGGGTGGAGGTGCTGGAGAAGAAATGCAGTTAAAAGCACCTTCTGGGTACCTGTATATGTATATATATTCTGCCCTATATTAGTCCAAAGAGAAAGGAGGCATGTTGTGGGGAGAAGCTGCAAGAGCAAGCAAGGCAGGAGTAGAACCAGGCCTGGTTTTACAGGCCAGCAGCCATTGGGGTGACAGGAGGACTCAAGCAGTGGAACAGGGAGATCTTTTGCAGAGGATATGGCCTTGATGTGTGTAAGCTGATGGTCAGCAGAAAATGCCCATTAGAAAAAAATGTCTTCTCTGAGGATACCGGTGAGAAAAAGTCACCCTTTTTTGGGAAAAAAAAATGACACCCTTCCTCTGGGTGAGATGCAGCCCTGCACCAGGGCACGTAGCTTGGTCAGCAGAGCTTGGGCTGGATTTTAGTCCTCACTGGGCTACATGCTCTTGCACAGTGAACAACCTGTACAACTGTACATGGTGGTCCTAGAAGCCCCTGTAGGCTCTTGATTAAGGTAGGGCCAAGAAAAATATAGAACTGGCAGGACTGAGGGGTGTCTGTTCACAGGGCCCCACAGTTCCCCCCACCTCACTTACATTTGGTCCCAGAGATGAGAGCTGGGATGCCCCTTGCACTTGGCCACCCCACCCCATGCTGTGCCTCCTCACTGTCTGTGTTTTCCTCTCTGGTGGGGCGCGGGGCGGCCCCTAGGTATCCAGCCACATACAGGTTCTAGCTCGGAAGAAGGTGCGGGAGTACCAGGTTGGCATCAAGGTACGTTAGGTGCCTGACTGGGGCCTCCAGCCCCTCCTCAGCACCTCTGCCACTATCTCTGCATGGCTCAGGCCTCTGCCTTGGCCAGCTGGCTGGTCCCACTGTGCCTCTTTTCTGGCTAAAGCTCTGTTCTTGCCTCTCCTTCCACTCTTTCTGCTTTTTCTTTCTCTTTCTCTCTCTCTCTACAGGTCTCTAGCCACTTGCAGGTTCTAGCCAGGCGGAAATCTCGGGAGATTCAGTCCAAGCTGAAGGTATGGGGTTCCCCTGTCACTGGCTTGGCCCTGCCCAGGCCTGTTGCTGCTCTGTGACCTCAGTCCAGGGGAGGGAGGGGACTAAGGAGCTATGGGGGGTGAGGGGGACACCTCAGAACACAAGCATCAGGAAGACCAAAGGCCACTTCGGGCCACAGACCCTGCAGACTACTCAGGATCCAAAGGGATAGCCAGTCCTACAGTGAGGGAGAGGAAGACCATCTGGGGGCCACTAAGGTCCACCTCTCTTCTCCGTTTTCCTTTTTCTCCTTCCTCCTAATTGCTGCTTGCTAATTGCATGGGACTTAAGGTGGGCGGGAAGGAAGTGCTCGGGGGGTATTGGCTGGCAGATACTGTGGTGGGCATATTTGCTCTTTGCACTGGCTGCTCTGTGGCTGAGGATCTCAGAGCCTGGGGTTCATGGCCCTGGCCCTTGTCAGGACCCCTATAGGCCGCATACTCTTCCTGCCCACAGCTGCATAGCAGGCTGGGCTCCCACCTCAACCCCAATGCCTCTAGCACAGCTCCACAGGATGTGGACAGACCCAAGAGCACCAGCTTGGTCCACCGTCTAGGTCTCCAGCCTGCCTTTCCTCATCCTGTCCTTTCCAGGGTAACCCCAGCTGGCAAGCATTCCCCTTGGGTAGCAGTGGGGCAGGGGGAGGGTCCACAGCTGCCTCTGAGCTGCCCTGGGCTCCCCAGGAGCTGAGGGCCAGGTGGGCATTGAATGAAGGGAGGTGAAAAGACATTTTCCCACCCCATAGTCCTCATCTGAGCCTCGTCTAATTCATCCTCCCTCTCCTTCACAGGCCATGAACCTGGTAAGTTGCACCACCCGACTCTGGGGGGAATTGGCAGGGGTGTGTGGAGGGAATGGGGGGAGTGCACCCATTTTAAATTATGGGCTGTGAAATCAATTTAATAGGTTCATAAACAATATTTTTTGTTAATGGCATATAATAGTTCTCAAACTTCAGCATGCATCAGAATTGCCAAGAGGACTTGTGAAGAGATTTCTGGGCCTCTCCCTTGGAGTTTCTGATTCAGCAGGTCTGGGTTAGGGTCCTAGAGTTTTCATTTCTAACAAGCTTCCAGGTGATACAGGTATTATTGGTCCATAGACCATACTTTGAGAACCACTAGTAAAATAGAATAGAAAGTATGAGAGTGTGTGACACACAAAATAAGAGGAAATATTTTGGTAAACACTGGGTTATAGAAGAAATGCATTTTTTACTATGCATTGTGGTCAGAAGGATGATGTACATTTAGGAGACAGGCCCAGAGCAGGGCTGAGACTCTACTGAGCTCACATAACAGAGCAGGGGCTGTAATCCAGACCTGGACTCACAGAGCCCTGAGGATCTGGGATGGGGCCCATGAGGCAAGCCCTTGTCCTGTCTTTGGTCTGGTCCAGGCCACATGCTCCTCCCCTCCCCAGGACCAGGTCTCCAAGGACAAAGCCCTCCAGAGCATGGCATCCATGTCCTCTGCCCAGATTGTCTCCGCCAGCGTCCTACAGAACAAGTTCAACCCACCCTCCCCTCTGCCCCAAGCTGTCTTCTCCACTTCCTCACGGGTATATGGGGGTCCTGGGTGGTGGGGCTGGGGTGAGGGGGTACCTTCAGTGCTGCACTGTGGTGGTGGTCATGGACACTGAGGGACCCCTGGACCTCTCACATCTTTGCAGTTCTGGAGTAGCCCCCCTCTCCTGGGACAGCAGCCTGGACCCTCTCAGGAGTAAGTACTGTGGTGCACCCTTCCCACACTCTCTTCTTTCCCCTGGCAGCCATGCTGGACTTCCCTCCCATCTGGGTTCCAGTAACAGCTGAGCAAAGTTTTCATTCAAAAATAGAAGGGATGGAGAGTACCAGCAAGAGAGCTAATGCATCTGTCTGTTTATTCATGTTTGTTCATTCATCAACCCACTCATCCACATGTTTCTCCTTCGATTATTTTTCACTCATTTAATCTCCAAATCAGTCAGTGGAGGAGTCAGATAGTCAAGTATACTCAGTTCCTTCAATTCTAAAATTACTTTCATTCTAAGATACACCCTCAGTTTAATGAACTTCTGGGTGGAGTTGAAACATGGCATTGAGTGTGCATATCAATTGTGAAGTGCAACAGGATTTTATAAAAGTTAGAATGTGAGGAAAACAAAAAGCTTGTGAGTTAGCTTGTCAGGATGCATTTCTGGGCCTCTGCAGAAAGGCTGGGTCATTCCCTATTGGAGTCCCAGATGAGACCCCAACTGAATGGGCCAGGTGGAAGGTGGGGATGGGGAAGACCCTCTAACCAGGCTGTGCTCCTGTCCGCAGCATCAAGCCCTTTGCACAGCCAGCCTACCCCATCCAGCCACCCCTGCCACCGACACTCAGCAGTAAGTTCCCCATTCGAAGCTACTGCCACCACCTCTCCCTCAGCATCTGCACCTCTGCTCAGAAGAGCTGGGGCCCAACTGCGTGAGAGGAGAGAGAGAGAGAGAGAGAGAGAGAGAGAGAGTGAGAGAGAGTGTGTGTGTGCAGGGAGGAGGAAGTGGGTATCTGTAGGGGACTGGGGCAGGCCAGAATAGCCCCCTTACCTTGTACACATTGCGTCCGGAACTCTGCTGGAAATACATACCACCAAAAGTATTACATTTATATATATATATATATATATATATATATATAAATAATTCCTTGCAAGGAAACACACCAAAATCTTAATCACCCTCTCTAGATGTTGGGATTCTGGGTACTTTCTGTTCCCTTTTTACTTGTCTGTATTTTCTGTTTGAACACGTTAGTAGTGACACAAAGGAAAATCCACAGATACACTACAAGGGTCACCACACATGGTTGTACACTGCACAAGAACATTGGGCAGAGGAGTCAAAATCCAGTTCCCGTTAGTAGTGACACAAAGAAAAATCCACAGATACACTACAAGGGTCACCACACGTGGTTGTACACTGCACAAGAACATTGGGCAAGGGAGTCAAAATCCAGTTCCCATTCCTACCTGAAATGGGTGCTGTTTTCTAATTTGTGCAAAGGCTCTGTGCAGGCTGGGGGCAGCTCAGTATGTAACGATACACACACACACCCATGCAGATGAGGCTCCATCTCGTCCTCCTCCCAGGTTATGAGCCTCTGGCCCCACTTCCCCCAGCTGCTGCCTCTGTGCCTGTGTGGCAGGACCGCACCATCGCCTCCTCCCGGCTGCGGCTTCTCGAGTATTCTGCCTTCATGGAGGTGCAGCGAGACCCTGACACGGTAATGTGTTTAGTCAGGTGGGGGCTGGGTGCGTGTGCATGAGAGTTTTTGCAGTAGTGGAGAGACCATAGCATGGTAGTCCAGGGCCATGGCTCAGGGTGGTAGGATTGGGAAGCAAAGGGCAGTTCTGTCCCCATGCAGCTACCCCCACATCCCAGCCTGCACACATGAGCAGGCTCCTGACCCTGTACTGGGCCCTCCCCACAGTACAGCAAACACCTATTTGTGCACATCGGCCAGACAAACCCTGCCTTCTCGGACCCGCCCCTGGAGGCAGTCGATGTGCGTCAGATCTACGACAAGTTTCCTGAGAAAAAGGGCGGACTAAAAGAGCTCTATGAAAAGGGGCCCCCTAATGCTTTCTTCCTCGTCAAGTTCTGGGTGAGCTGCACTGGTCCCTCTCTGCTCCCAACAACCCCTCCCCCAGCGGTGCAGTATACTGGGGCCCACCCCACTGACCCCAACCCTGCCTTCTCTCCACGTGGCCTGTGGGTGGGATGCTGATGTGGCATGGCGGGGAGGCCTTCCCCTGGCCTCTGCCAGCACCCAAGGCCACCCCTGCCCCCTCCACCAGGCCGATCTCAACAGCACCATCCAGGAGGGCCCGGGAGCTTTCTATGGGGTCAGCTCCCAGTACAGCTCAGCTGATAGCATGACCATCAGTGTCTCCACCAAGGTGTGCTCCTTTGGCAAGCAGGTGGTGGAGAAGGTGGAGGTGAGTGGGGCCTGGGGATGGCGTGGTGGGGCAGAGGGCAGGCATGCAGAGTGACGTCTTCCCTTGGCTCCCTGCAGACTGAGTATGCCAGGCTGGAGAATGGGCGCTTCGTGTACCGCATCCACCGCTCACCCATGTGCGAGTACATGATCAACTTCATTCACAAGCTGAAACACCTGCCTGAGAAGTACATGATGAACAGCGTCCTGGAGAACTTCACCATCCTGCAGGTGTGGGGGGCAGCAAGGGTCATGGGGGGGTCACATGAGGGCCCCAAGCACAGGGGCATCAAAAGCCAGGGTGGCCAGACCGGAGGAGACTGAGGGTCTGCTCAGCCCCCACACACCGTGGCTCTGTGCTGCCTGACCTCCCGAATCTTCCTACCCGGCCCCCAGGTGGTCACCAGCCGGGACTCCCAGGAGACCCTGCTTGTCATTGCCTTCGTCTTCGAAGTCTCCACCAGCGAGCACGGGGCCCAGCACCATGTCTACAAGCTTGTCAGAGACTAGGGTGCCCCTGCCCCCACCACCAGGGTCCAGGACGAGCATCTTTCCCACACATCTGGCAGCCCTGGGGGTCCAGGACTGAGGACTCATCTGCCTGCCATGCCTCAGGCCCAGGACCCAGGAGGCCTTCCCACCCACCCCCAGCACACACACTCCTTGCCACTGTTCTGTGCTTTAGCTGTGGGAGGAGAGGAGGGCTCAGCCGTGGGGCAGCCTGCCCAAGAGCTGGCCCCTGTCATCCAGCTCTGCCCAGCCTTGAATGAATGGGAGGACATCTTCAGGCTCAGGCATGTGTGGCCACTGGCCCCTCAGAGGAGTGTGGCGGGCAGGTGAGGGCAGAATGGAGACCGAGGGAGCTGGGGTGCAGAGACCCCAGAAAGGAGAGTGTCAAGTGGGGTTGAGTTGAGAAGAGAGGGGCCAACACTTTCTTTGCACCTGCTGTGTGCCAGGTCCCCTGTGTGCCTCATTTCATCCTCAGACCCTGCAAGGCAAGCATGGGTCTTGCTGTCTCAGGTGAGTTGCTGAGACTCCAAGAAGTTGAAGGCCCCGTGGGCAGAGTTGGAGTTCTCACCCAGGGCTGCCTGTCCCCCGAGCCCAGGTTTACACTACCTCCCTGGAGTGGCCGGCTGTAGTGGGTGGGAGATTGGGTCTGCACTGAGGGGCTAGGGTCATTTGGGTTTGGAGCACAAAACACCTCCTCCCAGAGTCCCCTGACACAGGGGAACAGCTGCTTTTGACTAGGCAGGAGGAGGGGAGCAGCAGGGACTCATCACCCATTAGGTGCCTTCTGTCACCCCTGGTCCAGCCAAGGGCCTCGGGAGCCTCCTGTGCTGACCTCCTCCAAGTTGTCCCCGCCCAGATCCTAAGCCCAAGGCCCCCAGCAACCTTCTGATGAAGAAAGGCCCCCAGAGGCAGGTCCCCGCTTGGGAACAGGCTGGGGAGTCAGATAGGAAGATGCAGCCCCAGCCTCTGGACAGACCAGTGGCCCAGGGACAAGGAGGTACCACAAGGCTTTAAATTTTTTCTCTTTCTCAAGACTTGGGTCTGATGAACCCTTGGTGGGTACCACTCTCATGCTCTTCCCCACCTCAGTCTCCCTGGCCTGGAGCAGCAGTTCCTCAGACCCAGTTCTGAGACTGAAGGTTAGCCCTTCCCCTGCTGCCCCTTCCCAGTACCCAGACCCGTCAGCCGGCTTGGCCAGGCCACCAGCCTCTGGGTATTTATGAGTTTCATATGAAGTACTGTGCCCTTTACCTGCCCTTCCCCATCCTGCCCCTGAGCTTCCTGAAGGTCCTCACAGTTTGCATATCGCTCAGGCCACCTCCAAACCCAACCTAGGTTTTATAATGTATATTATATATTTTTTGTGTATTTTTTAAATCCAGCTGTGATGGGTTATATCATAAACGTGGCATGGGGCTGGGGCCAGGGCCCTCAAGGCCCAGCTCCTGCTCAAAAAAAAAAAAAAAAAAAAATTAAAGTTATTTGTTTGTGGGTTAGTTGTGTGATGAGTCGTGTGCCAGAACTGGGTTGGAACTGCTTCAGGTGGGTGTCCTGCTAGGTTAGGCCCTGGTGTGTCACCCACTCTCTGCAGGGGAGCCCCAGCCCCTACCCACACTCTATAGATAAGATTCAAGGGTCCCATGAGAGCTTTGCAGACTCCAACCTTTCTCCCCTAGTCCTGCCATGTCAGTCTTGAGCACACTGTGACATGTGCCCAGTGCTGGCCTTAACTTGTATTCTCTGTCGTTGTATTCTCTTGATTTACCCAAGGTCGTATACCAATTGAGATGGGCTCCCTGCTAAAGCTCCAGTCTTCACAGTGGCTGCTACAGTTCCCATTGTCTTGTCTTCACTTTACACAAGGAAAGCCCCAAGGGAGTGGTCTCCCAAGGGGTGGCTGCTAGCCAGAGAACCATTCCAACCTGCTCCTGCTTGCCTGGGAAAGCCCTGCTCTCCCCACTGAGCCATCTTGTGCTTCCAGCAGGGACCACACAGTTGTGGACACGGGGGCAGTATCCTCAAAGAGCAATGTTTATCTGAAATTCAAATTTAAGTGGGCAGTCTGCATCTTCATTCGCGAAATCTGACAACCCTATTCTAGAATCTAGTCTTCTAGATCATTCTGGTCCAACTTCCAATTTTGCAGATGGGGAAACGGACTGTTTAAAATGTTTTCATTCAGCCAATCAGTGGCAACACTAGGAGTTGAACCTGGTCTTCCTGACCGTGTAAGTCCCTGCACCTGTTATACGATTATATCAATCAGGGGCTTTTTGTTTTGGCCTACCATTTTACTGGGATCCCAGACTGCCAATTGCAGGATGGAGAGGGTGTCTGGAGCCCCAGCCAGTTGGGAGGTCCTGGACGTAGAAATTGGTTTATGAAGGACCCACTATGTGCCACGCCTTGGGCTCAATGAAGAATCTAATCTGCACTAATGGGGGATTACATCAATTGGGTGTTTGAAGCATCATCACACAGGCTGTTGCCTTCACTCTCCTGGAATGAACAAGCTTTGGACAATTTCTTTTAAAATAATGTAGCTCTCTCATACAGAAAACTCAGTGAAATATGGCTGGCCTCTTTGCCCCTCCCCCTACACACAAACGTTAACAGATCCAGAGGTGGGTGATGACTAGTTTCGAGGTCCCAATGTAGGAAAGGAACCAGGATGAGGTGATCTTGTGAACCCAGAGCTCTCAGTGTAGGTTAAGACAGCAGCTTAGGAAGTACCTGAACCCACTTCCTCCCACATGTAAATCTACACCCACTGAACCCTGAATTCTAACTCTGACTTCTAGAGGCTAGGATTTAAAGTAGCTCAACCTTCATTTACAATTGGAATCAGTCTGCTTTCCCGTCCTGCTGCCTGCTTTTTCTGTGGTGCTGTGGACCTCTTGGGAGCAGGCACCATGGCTCTGAACAGATTCTCCAGAGCCAGGCAGAAAAGTGGTGACTGTTTAACATAGAATTGGTTTTTAAGGATTCCTATCCCAATACAAAAGGCATAACAGACATGCCAAGAGCAATGGTAAAATTCAGATGATTCAAATCAATAATCCAGGAAGACTCACATTCCCAAGTATTTCTAAAACATAGTCATTCACTTTGCCTCGGTTTCCAAATGATTTAAAGATTTTAATCCCCGGTTTATTTTAAACAGGGTGTAGCTGTTAAGGCACTTTGTTCTCCCCATTCATCAGAACCATATCCTCAGTACTGCCGCTACTCAATCGTCCATCCTAAACCCAACTGAGCCAGATACTTGTGTACAGGGGACATGCATATATACATAATCACAGAACAGCTGTTCCCACGCTAAGCACCAGTCACCGTACAAAACACACTTTTAAGTCGGAACTGCTTTGACTTTACGTACCATCACCATCTGCACTTCAAGTTCTAGAGAAGTGAATAGCCTCAACAAGCTCACACGACTCCCAAGTGGCAGAGCTGGGTTTCACACTCAGGCAGTAGGGGGGCCCTCAGACCATAATCACATGGCCAGTCTCCTTGCACCCCAAATTGTTGAGGAGACGTCTGAAGTCCTGAGAAACCTTGAAAAGCATTGGCACTGCTGCCAGTGCATAAGTGTCTGGGTGCCTCAGACTGTACCTGTGCACTCAAGGAGCTCAAGGCCCTGGGGATGGGCTCCCGGAAGCACAGCTGGTGGCCACCTAAACATGAGACTTTATGCCTTTCTTTTGGCTCTCGTGCCTTCTAATTCTCTCTTGCTGTACTGTCATGTAAGAGGCTGGGCACACTCAAAATTCAGTGCCTTTGAGAGACACGGCATAAAACATACTTGTTATTTTTTGTATTAATTCCATCATCAAATTTTAAGTATTGCTTTTTTGTGTGATTATAAAAATTACAGAACTTCAGAAAATTCCAAGATTTAAGTCCCAGGGTTAAACATTATCAACATTTTGGAATCTGAGTTTCTAATCATTACTATGCATAAGCTATCTCTTTTCCAAAAAACTGGATCCTTGTTTTATAGCAATCTTTTTTCCCTCCTTAACCATCAGGAACATTGACAAGCCTAGATTACTCCCCTTAGTAACATTATGGTAATAGTCCAGAGTTACAGACCAGGAGCTATAAGCTGAGCCTATATAACCTTGAGAACGAAAATTCACTGCACATCACAAGATTATAGATTGTAGCTATTTTACCTGCAAATAAAGTTATTACAATAATTTTAAAGTGGCAAAAAATTGCTCAAGGTCTTTGGCAAAAACCCTATACTCTTCAGAGTTCAAGACCAGATAAAGCTCATTTTGAAAAGGTGCCACATTTTTATTTATGCTTTGAATTGACCTTTCAGCTCTACTAAATGGAGGGATGAACTGGTTCCTTTACATACCAAAGCTGAACAGAGGTTAATGTCCAAGGCTAAATCATTATTTCCCACACCAAAAACTACCTTTCCAGTACTGGGCACTGGAAGCAAGAACTGCAAGAGGTTAAGTTCCACAGGCGAGGGGAGGGCAGCACCAAGAAGTTCCCACAGCCTGATTCCACAACTTACTAAGCTCCACTAAAACGTACCTACCATAAATTACAGTATATATAGGCCTTCTACTTGTATTTAAAGCTTCCCTAAATTACTAATTGAACACAGGGTATTCAATTTGGTACCAGGAGATCAAATGCTAAACCAATTCCTCAAGGTTTGTGGTCTTTTCCCATCAATGTACCTAGAAAGCCAATCCCAGGCCCATTGGAACCCAGACTATCTAACAAACCAAGAGGCCAAATGCATAACTTAGAGATTTAAAGGACCCTCCCCACCCCCAAAAAGTCCACAGTAAGAACCGAACATAAAAGGAAGCCATTCTGGGTCAGAGCTGAGGCATGCTGCCAAGAGGTGTGAGTGATGTCCTCAATGTGAAGGTCCTACTGCCTTCCACTAGTGACAGAACAGTCCTCCAGGTAACTAGGAAAGCACTGGTCCTAGTTAGCAGCCCTATTTCCATGTTACCCAGAGTCCTGAAGACTGCATGGTTTTGAAAATTGAAAGACTGGTCTTCCTGGTTTGTAGTATGCATACAAGTGAAATGACTAAGCATCCCTGGGAGCCACAAACCACACTCATCAGCACTGTGCTGCGCGTGCCATGTCAGCCCATAAAGTACCTCCCTTCCAGGTCACAGGCAGGCAGAGATAATGGTGGCATTAGGGTTTATTAGGCTGTGCCTCAGTACAGGCGCTGGGCCTTGCCCATGGTGCTCTTGATATATAAAGCCCGGACATTCTGCCAATTCTTCTTGAGCAATGACACTAGGAAATTGACGGCTAAGTGGATATTGTATACAAGCTCATCATCTGTCATCTTCACATGACCAACAGCCACTGCCAGACAGAGCACCTGTGGGAAAAGGACAATCAAATCAGGTTTGGTGGCTAGATGGACAGAAGAGAACACAGGGAGCGTGGGCACATCTACAAGCCAGGTGGCCAGGCCCTCCACACATGGAGAAATGCCCTGCTCCCCAGCCGGGAAGACCAGGGCTATTTGAAGAGCTTCAATCCTGCTCAGTGACTATCATGTACTTTAAGTATCCATTATAATGCAATCCCAGCCTCCCACAATGTGGGTCAATTTCAGGGCCCTGCCACATCACCAGGGCTTGACCTCCCTCCTACCTTCTTCATCTGGAACTTGATGGTGGACTTCACTTCATCGACTTTGGCCACCATGTTCTCATTGTGGGTGAGCAAGGAAGGGAACTTGCCAGCCTTATTCAGGCCTGGGCCCAGGATTCGTGGGATCTGCTTGATCAGAGACTCTGAAGCCAAAAAGGCATCATACTTCTTGGCTGGTAAAAGAGGAAGCCACTGGATTCTTAGGACCTGGCCCTGAAGGCAACCTCCAAACAGGGCTCTGTGAACCAACCACAGAAGTAGCCTCTACCCAGCACATTCTACCCCCACCCACTTCCAGGTACCAAATCTTTTCCATCCCCTCCTCATTCAGCTGATCATCTCCATCCTACTTACTTCTACTGATCCAAAAACATTCACATAAAACCTGGTATCAGAAGCCCAGGTGGACTCACAATCCTTTTTGCAATGGAAAATGCACTCTGGTCAAGACCACTTAGGTTCAAATCCTGCTTACCACAGAACTGGGGCACATTTCCTATCTGTAAAATGTTGAGACCACATAGGACCAGATTTTTTTAAATTAAACTTGAGCTTTAAGTGCAAATCCAAATTCAGAATATACTTACACTTGATTAGTCAACTCTTAATGGGTCTTCCCTGTTTAGAAAGAACCAACACCTACCTAGCCTCCTTCCCTTATAAAATTCAACCATCAAAGCAAATATGAAGAACCTTCCAAAGGTTAAAAAATACTACTCAAGATAATATGGATGCATCTTGAATGACTGTTTTGTGTATGTGAAACCATCCTAAGATTATCAATGATACATTAAAAAAAAAAAAAAAACTACTCAGGTTAACCAACCACAAATACTTTCAGTCATGACTCTACCTGCCTTCATTATTGTAAAGTTCAAATGGCAAGAATGCCACTTTCTAACACTCCTAAGAGAACTGCCTGCCCCGAACGCACCCCAAACACAAACCCACACATACCCAGCTTCTTCACCAGTTTCTTATTCTTGTTTAGTTTTTTTAGTGCCTCGATGTCCATGTGGGGGATATCCACAGCCTTGGCCTCGTCACAGTGCTGCTGGTCCCCGAGCACACACACGGAGAACTTGGGGCGGGGAGTGGACTTAAGCCTGCATTTTTGGGGAAAGAACAGGTCATGCCCAGCCCTGAGTCCCAAGGGCAGGTGAAGGGGTCTGGGACCACTGCAGCCACCGAGCCTTACCCAGAGTGTCCACATTCACCATCAGCTAGTCTGGCTTCTCAAACTAGCCGGCGGGGCTTGGCCAAAGGCCTCCCCACGCCTCCCCTCTTGTTTTAAGACCCAGGGTGGAGGTCCGTCCAGCCTCGCCGGCCCGAAGCAGGGAGGTCTCAACTACCCGGGCTCCTCAGTACCGCACGTGCCTGCCCGCCTCCGGCTCAAAGGAGCCTGAAGGGAGGAGCCGGGAACGCGGGGCACTGAAGGCGGGGTGGGGTCAGAACCGTGCCAACCTGACGGTGCCCGAGAAGCGTTTGTCCTTCTGAGGATCATAGTTCTTCAAGCTGATCTGCAACTCCACCGTCTCCAAAAACCTTAGAAAAAGTCAATGAAGTTTACAAGCCGCCCGCGGCCTCCCGAACCGCCCAGGCCGGCAGTCCCCGCGGGGCCCGCGCTTACTTCCGGCGCTTGCGCTGGTTGCCGTGCAGGACTTCCCGCACCGCCTCGTAAAGGGTGTCGCGGGAGACTTTGCTGCTGCGAGAGAAAAGCAAGACGAGTGCTCAGCCCTGGGGGCCGCGGATCAACGCCCACGGCCTGTTCAGAAGCCTGAAGCTTCGAAACGGGAATTCCGGATACCAAGGCGAGCAATTTGGGTCAGAAAACCAGATGCAAGCCCCGAAAATGGGGAAATATACTGGCAGCCAGGCTTGGCGTACTAACTCGAACGCCGAGCCCGCAGATACATGCCTAGCAAGAAACACCCCTCAGTGGAGCGGAGGCAAGGACCACCCCCGATTCCGCCCGCTAAGTATCCCTCCCCACCGGGGCGCAGGAGTGGCAGATGAATGCGGATAGCACCCTACGCACCACTTACCTCATGGTGGCCCGCGCCGCAATAACCTAAAGAGACCAACTCGGCTCGCGCATGCGCGCAAATAGTGCCCGTATTCTCGCGAGAAATCCCTTGTTCCTGTGGCTCCGCTCCCGAAAGCAGTCGGGGTCGCTCAAGCGTGAGAGCGCCGCCGTCTGCGGCCGCTGGAGGGTGTTGCTGTGCGCTGCGCAGGTGGGCAAGAGGCTGGGTCCTCCGCTCGCCCTTCAGTAGCCACACGTACTGGGCTCCGCACCGTGATGGCCGCAAAGAGCGTGCAATACCCGCATATTTGTCCCTCAGACCTCCTCTAACCACTTCCTCCTACCGTCCGCACCTGCTTCAGTTCTCAAAAACAGGCTTTCCTTCTTACCTCTCTCCCTCACCATCTTGCTTTACTGGGTGCTCAAAGCTTCTGAGGAAGTTGTGAGAAAGGACGTGTCAAGAAAGTTCTGTTCCTAACTGGTCCTGACCTCTCAAGCCTCCAGCTCTCTCTTCGAGAGTGTATTTCTGTCTTGCTAAATAAAACTGTTTTCTTGCCTTCTCAGAAAAGAAAAAAATACTAAGTTCTGGGGGCGGAATCTGGCCTCCTCAAAGCCTGCAGTGGGCAAGAAGAGCTGGGAAGGTACTATAATGGGCTTTCACCTGATAGCTGATTCAATAACGTCTACCTGCTAACTGTGTAAGAACCAGGAACCTAGCTAGGTGCTGCAGGAATATACAAATGTAAAGCAGACAAACCCTTCCTGCCCTTTCCTCTGCCCATAGTAAACCCAGGAGCCCTTCAGATCCCTCCTCAAAGGTCATCTGCCCAAAAGCCTTCTCCAACTCGACTGAGTCACTCCCACCTGCAAGCCTCCCTACCATGGTGGGTACACACCTCACCTACTCAACAGAGAACTCTGATAGGGCTGGAGTGGGTGGTAGCACACGTTATCCAGCCCACAGAACGTGAATGAATGACCTTCAGCACTCTACCACCTTCCCCTCACTAGACATTTCACCAGGAAAAAGATGATTCTTGTCACTGAGCAGGGCAGGGTGGGGAGTGGCAGTGGTGTGTATGGGTTTTCAACAAACACCCAGAGTTAACAGGAAGACAGGCACTCCTAGTAAGACATTACTGAACTTTTTATTAAATACCATTGATAAAGTATTATTCAAGTTAGTAACAAGAACATGGAGGATAGTAACATATACTTGAGCACAAGACATTTGTGCTGAACTCACAAGGACCCCTGGGCTCCTGGAAGATCATCTACTCAGGGTCTGCTTTGACTCTACTGAGGCCTATCAGAAAGCTTCCGGCCCCAAAGCCTGAGGGAGAAGTGACAGCAGTGAGCCCAGGATCAGCAGCCCTGGGAAATCAAGTTCATCTAGCCCCCTTAGCCAGGGACCCTCCCTGATGGCTGGGCAGCCAAGATGGCCTCTCTGCAGCCTATAGCAAGGTGGTAGCTGATCCCTGGAATGACCAGACTCTGTCTTTACCCCTAATGTAGGGAAAGTGCTGAGAGTAGAAATGTCCTTCAGGAAGCTGATGAGGAAGCTCCAGGAGGGTGGTCCACTGGTGGATGGTCAGGCGGCCAGACGTCTCAGGGTGGCCTGCAGGGACTTCCTCAGAAAAGTGGTGTTGAGCTCTAGGGCTGCAGCCAAGCCCAGCCTCTGGGTCTCAGTAATCTAGTGAGAAGGAGGAATCATGTCAGGACTCCAGCAGCTGATCCCTCCCCTCTCCCCTCTGCCCCTGGGCTCTGTTTAAAAAAGAGAAAGAAATCCAGGACACAAGGATGATGGAGATGACTCCTTGAGCAACTAACCTCATTATTTCACCAAGGTGAAGCAAGGTCTTTGGATTCAAGCAGACCTGGTGTCAAATACTAACTGCACAACTTCCTAAGCTACATTAATAATAGCTGCCAATTATTGGGGTGCTTACCATGTGGCAGCAATTTATATGCATTACTTCATATAATCCTCACAACCCTCCAGTTGTACAGATGAGGAAACTTTGGTTCAGAGACCCTCCACTAACTGCCACATTCCTTCTGGGCCATACTTTTCTTCCCTGATGTGTTGCTACAATCTCTGGACAGGTCTCCAATCCCCATTCTTTAAAGAGGCCAGAGGTTTCTTTTAAAATGCAAATCTGATCAAGTCACTCCAGCTGCCACCGTTCACTCTCATGTTTTTTGGCGGGCCCAACTACGATGAACTACCTGCAGATCCCCTTGGATGTTCACTTCCTACACTGTTTCCTTTGCCTGTAATGCCCTTTCCTCCATCCCAGCCCTTGACTACACTCAACCTTTAAGAGTCAGGAAGCCTATCCCATTCCCAACCACAAACAAGGTTTAGTTGCCCCCTCTTCCTTTGCCACAAAAGCCCTGTGTATTCCTCTTACCTGGCTCCTACCAGATATTATAATGATCTGATCTGTTTACCATCTCTCTCCCTAGCCCTTCTAGGGGAGATGGTCAAGTCAAGGACAGGGACTCTGTCATGCTCACTTTTGATTCCCCAATGCCCCATACAGCATCTGGCCCACTGTGGTATTGGCTAGACAAATGAACTCCTAAGCAGCGCCATTCCCTAGTTAGTTCTGGGCTTGAACTCGTGGTCTCCCTGGCTGACTCAGGGTTTTCTACCTGGCAAACATCTCTACACCCTCATGGCAGGCTCAGAGCCACAGGATCTGCCTGTGGCCCTATCAACACTCACGCTGGCCTGATACTTGGTCATCACTGTCAGCACGAGCTTGGCATAGGCTGTGGATGTGGTGGCCATTTGCCCCTCTTTACAAAGTTTCTCCATCAACACATTGAACTTCTCAGTGGTCACCTCCACCTGCATACACAGGGAGATGGGACAGTTGCACAAGAAAGGGCCCTGGATTCAATTCCCAACTCTACTATTTCCTACCTAGGTAACCCTGGGCAGGTCGTTTAACCAAACTAAGCCTCAGTTTCCACATCTGTAAAATGGAGCTGATACCATCTACCTCTGAAGATCGTGAAAAGGATTAAGTGAGATATGCACATAAAGCCTGGCACATCGTCTCAGACAGTGGTGGCTACCGTTGCAAAGATTCAGATTAGGATCAAGTTGAGGTCAAGGATTCTAGCTGGCTTAGTGGTTGAAGATATAAAGGAGAGGTCCAAGGGGTACTGCCGAGACAACAACAGCTCTTCAAAACAATAATTTAACAAGCACTTATACACCAGGCACTGCTTTGGGCACTTCATACAAACTGTCCCATTTAAATCTCACCCCAGTCTTATATGGCAGATGCTATCATCACTCCCTTCTGTCGATGAGGAAACTGAGGCATAAAGAGGTTAGGTTAACTACTTATTATAAACAAATAAGGCAGAATTTTAGATACTGATTATAGAAAAATTGCCAAAATAACACCATTAAGTAAAAAAAGCAAAGTACAGAGCAACGAGCTTAGTGTTATGGTCTGTGTAAAACGCAGGGGAAAAGTAAATTTAAACATATGTCCTTATATATAAAGCATCTCTAGAAGGGTTTCCCCCAAAACTACTTAACACTGATTAGCTCTGGGGAAGGGAATCTAGATGGCTGGGGGAATGTTTTTCCTATATCTTTTTGTGTTTTTAAAATTGTAAACATATGAATCCAATATCTAGTCAAAATTAAATTAAATTTACACACACACACTTCATCTGGTAAGAGGCAGAGCTGGGTTTTACCAGCCTTCAAGCAGCAGCACTCTCCCCATGTCACAGGATACCCTGCTGCAGGGCAGCTGTCCTGCTTGCTCCTCCATCACCAGAGGGATCAGAAACCAGGAGTCCCCCCACCCCCGCCTGTCCACAGCACTGCAGCACTTCTTTGTCCATGCTCCCCAAGGAAGCCTGTTTACCTGCTGCTCCAGGAGTGACTGCAACACCAAGAAAGTCTCCTCCTTCCAGGGCAGCTCCAAGACCTGTCTGCAAAGCACAAGCCTGGGTGAGAAAAGCCAGGCTTCCCCCCAAAGCCTGGGTACCTACTGGTCCTAGCCCAAGGCAGGGCAAGGCCCTGGGGGCAGCCAACAGAGGAAGTAGTTGGAGCCCCTCTGATGCTGGCAGCCACCCAGCAGCCATTGCTGCAAGAGCCCATACACAGTGCTGCCAAAACCCGGACTCCTGGGAGCTGACAGTGAAGGATTTGGCAGTGAGATGTACAAAGGTCCCTGAAAAACACAAGTCAAGAGTGCATCCTGAGTACCAAAGGTGAGGGTGATCCAGGGAAGAGGACAGTGATGGAATGAGATGATACACAAGGCTTCCTAGAGAAGGCAAGCCTTCCCTGCAGAGCCCAACCCATGGAGAGGTCCACACCAGCTGCATTTCTTGTTCTGCTGTGCAGTCCTTAGCTTGTTTGGGAAGGCAGTGCATCACAGGGAAGCAGTGTGGACCTCAGACTTGGACGCACAGACTTGGGTTTGATACCAGGCTTTATTACTTGCTGGCTGTGTGACCTTTGGCCAAGTCCCTTAACCACTCTGAGCGCTATAGTTTTTCCATCTCTAAGGCAACAGCAGCACCTGCCTCACAGGATTGCTTGAAGACTAACTGAGATAATGAACACAAAGCACAGAGAATGCTCAGTAAGAAGTGGCTGATTCTTTTGGGGGGACTATCCTCTTTTCATACTTAGAATTTTATATTTCATGTTTGTGTCCAATGGGGTCTTACCTACTCTGTTTCTGTAGCAAGGTACATGTCTCTATCTTGACTCCCAATTTTAATACCTGAATTAGGCACCGATTTAATAACAATTTTCGAGCACTTACTTGGTGCTAAATATTGTGCTGAGGTCTTTATATGCATTATCACATTTAATATCTAGAAAAATTCTAGAGTAAATATTATCCCCATTTTTCATATGAGGATATGGAGGCTCAGAGAGATGGAATAACCTGTTTGAATTTACACATTTAAATAAAAGATATGGTTGAGATTTGAAACGGTGTGTGTCTGACTCCACAGCCAATGCTCTTAACCACTGTGCCATGTTCCAACTACATGGTGAACTACTCAAGTGTAGGGACCACCAACCTCTTCTCTGCACACCCCTGCACAGAA